GAAATTTTCAAAGAAAGTCGCATAGAATTGTGGTCAAATGTGTGTGAAGAATTTATCGAAAGGAGGCCTGTGGCACTGGTTGATCTCTAGTCCTGCAAGTTTAAGGGTCAATCGATAACGAATTTAAATATTGGCTTTGCCTTTTATCGGCGTGCACAATCCTTAAGTACCCAGTCGATCGTAATTCTTCGTGTACCTTGTGTATACACAGGAAAAGCCATAAAACCGAGATTACGAAAAACGAGGCCATCGGTGCAAACAGTTATCCTTTTGCAAGGATATATTTCAACAGCAATTAATTTCGATCAAACGAATCTTTGATTAATCTGCCTTTTCTCAAATCGGCCATCAGAGATATCCAAGTAAAACCGTGCCAGACACGTCGATTATTGACAAAATCTGCATTGATGATATTGTGAATCCGACGATCATTTAACATTTATGGGATTTGGCAGATTACATCTAAAGAGAATAGAAACTCTATAAAGGACGATTCGTCCAACTTGACCCCATGATTTTCAATTATTCGTAAACTATTGAATAGGAGAGGAACTCCTATAATTCACAATTTTGTAAATCAAAGCATTCGGTTATTGTCGTTTAAATCGACATCGAACGAGAACTGTATTGGAAAGGGACAATGAATTAAACTGAACAGACCTCGATATTACAAGATTCGATTTTTCACTCGACTTCTTCCTTGTTACTAACTTTTTACTTATTTATCGCGAGAAGTAGAGGCTGCGATTAATAATACAAATTATTCGTTTCGAACGATTGTAGGAATTTACCGAGCCATCGAACGCGACAGAGAAGATTAACGAGACCTGAGAATGCGATCGGTATACGTGTTTCCAGCAGAGATCGATTGTCGTACTGCGACACTAGTGTTGGAGAGTTGGCACAAACTGAAGGGTTGCCGTTCGAGCTCGGCTGGTTCTGAGATCAAACTCCGGATCCTCCTTCTCATTTCTCAATAAAGTTTCATCAAATTTAATCAGTTAAAGAATATTGGCACGTGCGTACGTGTATTTCTTTCAATTTACATGTGTATATTTTTTCTTTTCAATTTAAGCACGATTTCAAAAGCTTTAATGAAGCTTTAATATCAGCGTGGATATGTAACAATTCTGAGTATGTCAAATTATTTCACGAATATACATATATTTAACGTTTTATATACATTAACATAATATTCGCAAAAAAATTTTCTATAAATGTTTCAATACATTTTCCAATAAAATTCACTTTAGCACTAAAATCGTCAATAAATACGCCAAAATGTTTCCTAAATTAATTTTATCGAGTCTCTCCTACAAATAGTTTCGTATATTTTCTTTTTATTTCTAAGTGGTTAGACTGCTTCGTAACGATGGTAAAAGTTTCACTGTCTTTCGGTTTATTTAATTTTTATCTCTTAGGTACTAGATACTCCGAGCTAATTGGACTTGATACTTTTTTTATTTAATTTTTATCTCTGGATGCTAGATACCTCAAGCTAATTGGACTTGATACACAAGTGAGCGTATCTTTCGAATCTCGTTGTAAGCTCGAATTGAATTCCTTTCACTATTCATTAGAAGAAAATATGTCGCAGAAATATAATCCACTCCTTTTCCTGACTTATTTTTTTTTTTTCTTGCAGACATAATTTTAATTTGTTACAGCCGACTGAAAAATATAAACTGATCGACACACTTCCCCAAATACGAACTAGCGAAAGGATTAATTCAGATCATTATTCGACAAAAAATCCTTTGAATTTAGGTTTATAAAAATTATCGAGCTCCTTTTTGCAATTTTATCACTTTTAAGAAGTTGTATTTAGAAAATACAAATGTTCAAATAAATAGTTTTTCATTTGTTTTCCTATTCGAGCGATTTAAAAGTGAATTTATCGTATGTACACTTGCTTGAACATGCAGTAAAACCAGAAATCGGTATAACGGTCAAGCAATCACGATAAAGACGCGCAGAAATAAAAGCGAAAATGATACGAAAGGTACTCGAGGCATCCGTAAACGTGTATTTCCGTCGATATTTATGATTATACGTAATACAAAGAGTTCCTTCGCCGGTCTGAAATAAAAATCGCCTTCGCTGATGACTCAATTTCAATAATCGTTGAAACCACTCTCTCTCTCTGAGAGCTCTCGTTTCATGAAATGGAACTATGTCACAATAAATTGTGTTTATGTATTACGAAGGCATCGATAAAACGTTGAACCTTGGAGGGGGAGAGAAAAAAAGTGATTAAATCGAAAGATTAAAACATTTCGCTGGAATATTTGAATTGGAGTAGATAGATAACGAATAGATCAGTATTGAAACGATTGCATTTTTCGTTGGGAATAAACAATTATTTGTTTCAAAATATACATCTTTCATTTCGTGAGAAATTCTGAAATCACACTCACGTATGACAGTGAAATTTTGAAATATCCACTTTTTTCCTAACAAGAGTTTTTAAATAAGATATTACTTTTTTCAAATAGTAAAGGGAATTTTGATTCATTTTATAAATAATAAAGACCTCGTCATTTTTTTATATAATGGACTTGCAAAAGAAGTTTCATTTGAAAGATACGCAATTATCCCATTACAAACGTCGTTTTTGAACAGTTAAAAAGTTAAAACTCTGTTTATCAATTTTTTCTCTTATCTTCTTTTTCTTTTTTTTCTTTTTTTTTTTAATTGTTTGCTACGCCTCGACTTTCGAATTTCTACCGCGTCCTGCTGAAAAAGAAAACAATCACACCGCGATAAAACTCGTTTCTCACGTCCAACGTATACAATAATTGTCTGTCACGACACACACCACTCGTTCTGTACGAGCAGATTTATTGAAACGTTTTCTGTCCACTTGATTACGCGCTACGAAATTAGCAGGAGATGCCGGTATGGAACGACGCCCGAGATGAACGTAATCGAATATAGTCATTTTAAATTCCCTACTAACGAGAATTGCTTCCTGAAAACCCTCCGTAACCATCATTTCCTCTTTCACGAGATAAATAGAGACATAAAGCAATTATGCGAGAAGAACTTTTTACTAATTTCAAAATAAGAGTTTTTGTAATTTAAAACTTTTCTGTAAATTTTCAAACGGCAGAAAGAGGAAAAAATAATATGAAAAAAATTAATTTTTTACTATTCGGTTGATATTATTAACATAAATGTGTCTCTCTCCATTTATCAGTATTGTAAATTAATAAATTATGCAAAAGAGACCGGGGCAAAATGCAAAATATTCTATTCAATTCACCACACAGAATGTAACAATATTACACGTTGGCGGTTGAAATTACATCAATTTGTAATGCAATTCAAGTTTCAAATTATATCTCCACTTTATATCCTTCAACACAAAAGATAGTTCCTTTTTCTCCTTCGCAATTTTTGCCGGGTACAAAAAGTAATATGAGTAAGGGAATGAAGAAACAGTAGCAGATACAAGTTGCATTCAGAACGCACCACGAATACCACACCAAGTACCTTACGATTACATGGTGTAATTACGTACAATTTTGTACTCTTATGTTGCTGAAAGCATTACCAACGTTATACGCACACGTAGACATACCAATTGTACATCCATCTCTCAAATATACGTACGACAATATTCACTTCGGTGGCGCGTACATTAAGGCGCACACGAACAAACGTAAGAACGACAAAAACAGGCCCCTTATCATTAAGTATACATCTTATGTTAGTTTCAAACGGGTGTCTCCTTTTTGTAATATCGTTTAACTTGCACTTCGTCTTACTAAGTGTGGTATATATTTTTCTCTCTTGCTTCGTTCGTTAATAAATGACATAGAATTTTATTTTATTTGGCATCCTCTCAGAGTTCAAATCTTCAATTACTACACTGCTGCGTGTGATACGATTTCTCTAAGTTTGAATTAGGCGAGCTAATATCTCTATATTAAAAAAGTTATTAGAAATATAAATTTACCAATGGAGAAAGGTCAAAGCCATATATATCCTTTTAATTCTAAAATTAATAATTATTCCTATAATTTTTACGTAACGAAAGCAATGAAAATCAGAATTAATATGGAGATTATTTTGATTATACGACGTTTGAATTTGAAATTATTGGAAAAGAATGCATCAATGTAACATTTATATTCATTATTTTTAAATTGTATGAAACCTATTTATATATAAATAGGATAGAAAATGAAACGAAGAAAATGTTATAAGACATCGTTTTCTCAATCGTTGATTTTTGTCATGTGTCGCATTCTTGCGACAAATTCACGAAACCGGAAACGCATGTGGCGGTTTCACGACGAGAGCGGCAAAATGTTTTGGAAAATTGAAATCCTAACCTATCTCGCGTTCATCTTTCTTTCCCTTTATTACGTCACATTTACCGTATTTCAAAGCTACGCTCGCATACACGTGTGAAAACCTTACCCAATGTTCGTTCCCTTTCTTTGGAACAAGTTCGTTAGTAGCATCTTGGCTGAATCAGATTGTCTAAGCGAAACGAAACATCCTTTCGCGAAACGGCAAGAAAGAAACCACGGAGTAAGAATAACAGCGTCCCTCTTATGTCAATCATGAATGTGCCATTCGACAGATGATAAGAATTTACAATTGAATGTAAGATTCTTTAACTTTTAGAATAATAATAATGTAGTTTGTTACGTCAGATTTGCCATCTTAACACTTGACAGTTTTTGACAAAAACTTTTTCTCGCTCTTACATTATATTTCATTCCATTTCCACATATCATTTTGACTCATCGAAAATCATCGAGAATTTCACTATTAATTTACAGAAGTACTTAAGGACAAAGATAAAATATATATATATATATATATATATTTTCAATCCATTTGCTTACAGAGAAAGTGAAAAATTGCACACTTATAATTTCGACATAAGAGAAACGATATACGGCGTGTGTTCTTCGAAATCAAGAATTCACGCTCGCGTACACGAACAATTTTTCTAAGACAAGAAACACCTGTTTGTTACTTACCATGCAGAAGAACTTCACGTCGGCGTTACGCCCGCGCACGAAAACAATCTAAAGACGTACTCCAAAAAATCCGTAAACGTATGTCGTGGTCCTGGTTTGGCCAGGAGAGATCCCACTGGATCGTAGTCTTGTCGTTTCCCTCGGTCTTGGTTACCTTCGCAGGTACGGATGGACAGCCGGCGAATAGAAAAACCTCACACGCGTAGTCCTGCGGTGTAGTGTAAAAAAAGAACGATACGCGATGAATCGAAGTCAAGTGCAATGCACACACGAGCAACCGCACGGCGCGCGGGTTCAGCGGCCGACTGAAAGGATGCAGTCGTCTTTGGTCCGCCATGGTCCGCTCACGGACCCGTGTGGCCCCTCGTGGTCCGACCATCCCCCCACCAGATCGCGACAACAGAGACAAAGCAGCTGCGCGCGCACCTATACATTTTTTGACCCTCCGCCATTCTCCCTTCCCTCTTCGCCCCCACTCTACGACCCTTAAGCTCGATTCATCGCGTTCCGTCCCCTAAGTCTCTTCGCTCTCTACACACTTGCATACTAGCGATAGGATCGACCCGTTAAGAGTTTCTAATTTCCCTGTCACTCGATAGACAGGTCTAGAGTCTTTTGTGAACTGTAGTTCCAGCAATCTAAATACAAAAAGAATCTGTCGTAATTACGTTACATTACGTTGAGCACAATATAATATAATCGCATTATATTCAGCGCAATCTTCGAGCATTTGTAACAGCAAACAGCGGATGTTTACGCGCTTATGGAAAATTTAAAATTACGCATAATATGGAAAAGTTAATAAAATATCAAAATTGCAATATGTCTTTATAACATTTAGTAAATTTCATTTTTTTAATTGTATTCATGAATTTGCATAAATACCCATAGTTTGTTGACAAAACTATCATATTTTATTGCTGCTGAAATAATTTAAAAGTAACGAGACAATACCTTCTGGAATGACTCATTCAAATATGAAGGCTTCCTAAAGTGTTATCATTTCCGGTATTTATAATCGATCTTAAATCGTTTGTTGAAGTATTGCAAACGGATCAAGAGGCTATTGCTCCCATCGCTAATAAGGCGTAGTACACATCACTACCCAGGAGTCCTTAACCGACACTCTCACCCGCGCTACCATTCACCCCCTCTTTCTTCTACTTGCAGCTCGTCATAGTCCTGTTTACACCCTGCGAGAAAGAGAGACTGTTACCGGTCTGGTAGCTTATATCGATATAGGAAAAAGTATATACCAGCCGATCCTATTGCACTGGTAGAATCGAGGTAACCGCTTTGCAATTCGACGGACCAATGCAATGCTAGGCTACCATTGGTAGCAAAGAACGTGCATACGATCACGACCTTCTAATGCCTTCTGATAACATACTTATTACTTGCGTAATAAAAAATGTACATTTAATTTTTATCGTAAAGATATGGTATAAGTTGCCCCACTTGCCAAACGGACTCGACTGTATTATACATATATGTATCTGTTTCATTTGTTTTGTTGATCGCCAGATAATTCTAGAAATAATTAATTATTGTCAACGTGTACAGATTTTTTTTAATCTGTATTTTTTTTAATCTAAATCATAATTTTAATTCATAAAATAAACGAATTATTTCCCTTAGCATCTAATTATTACAGATAATTTCTACTACAAAGCAATCATTATTATACCTCGTTTCCTAATGGTGATGCACCGGATATCGTACTTGATTACGAAGAGTTAGGTGCGAGCAACAAAGGGGTCTATAAATAAGAGTTTTAATATGAGCTTAGATATTGTCATAGATTATATGAACGATAATATATCCAAATAATTTTCACAATTAACTAAATAAATACGAGTTTTGAACGTACATAAATTTGTATGAGTTTATAAAAATCATATTTTAACATTTCTTTCATAACATTTGAAAAAAAGATTATTAAATCCTATGCTGAATCCTATCCTTATGTTTTAAACGCAATTTATAATCTGTTTTTTTAATTATTACCAGGATCAATAAACTGGCCAATACAGAATTATAATAAAGAACATTTATTATAAAGTTTTAGAAAACTTCATCCACTACTAATTTGTATCTTATGCCTTATACAATATACATACAGTATATATAAATATATTTTGCGCGACATCTGCCAAACTTTATTAAATTAATACATTTTTATGAAATTTGAATCAAAATATATTATTATACAAAATAAATCGTATTAATTAAAAATATTAGCGATTTCTTTATAATTATCATGATTACAACATTAATTTATTTTAGAAAATACACATAATGTTATTTCTACAAAAAAAAAGTTGATATATAGAATGAAGTATCACTTTTAAACATGTTAACCTCAAATGTCTTTTTCGAATGTTAATGTGTATTACAAAAGATTGACGCAAACTATTTTATTGTAAGCACATAATTTTTTAATACGAATAATTTATTAATTAGATATTCATAAAATCTACTATCTATAGTAATATGACAACATTTCATTAACTATTATTGCCTTTTAACTGTACACAAGAATTACTTAGAAAAAAAAGTTAATTGGATAATATTTTTTCAGAAGAAATTTTAATGATCACAACAACGAAATCTATGGTTGTATGTTGATCATGTTAAAATTCATTATATTATGAGGAATATATTCATTTTCTTTGTTTTGGTAAGGATAACCTTTACTGTAAAACTTGTATAACTTGGAATTCTTGGATTACTTTAAAATAGTCATAATAACATTATTTTATTTTAGCAGATATCCTGCGTGTTAGCATTTAAAGATAAATTATTACATTATATAACTGATGAAGTTGCAGGAGGTTCATACAAGTACTATAGTTTAGCTTATGATGGTTTTATTAAAATAGTACTAATATCTGAGTAAGTAAATTATGATTAATAAAGTAAAATTAATAATTATTAATTATTAATTTATGTATATATTGTTTATATATAATATAAGTGTTATATATTATCTATATTTCATAGAGTTGGGGACACAGATTTATATGCTTCACAAACAACGACAAAACCAACTTATGAGCCAGATCAATATTGTCTTCAATCTGCTACATGTGGAGAAGATATTATTCTTATTCCTGATAGGTATATTAGATATAATTTGCATAAATAAGTAAATGCAAAATGTAATACAATATATCTCCTTCCAGTTTTAAAAGACCAGTTAGTATAGGAGTTTATGGACATCCGTCACACGAGAATAATAAATACATTCTGTTAGTATATCAAACAACAGATACAGAAAACATATCGTATAAAAGAAATTCAGATATTTATAATGAGGTATATATTAAAATGCAGAAATGTTTAGAATATATAATATATGAGTATATAATTTTATAATTTTAATATTACTATTTCAGGAACAAAAACCGTCAATCTCAACATCTATCACGTGGTATCTGTTAGATTTTCTGTTTCATGTATTATTTTAATGTATATTATATCTTAGGGCCTTAAATTTTTAAATTAATCATGTTGGAATATGAGAATCAAATGTTTCTGGAAATACTCCATGAAGATGGATTGGTTATTACTGCAAAGTAATTATTGTATTATTTATGCATATAAAATACATTTCTCATATTTTGTTTCTCACTCAATTCTTATATATATATATGATATATTATGATTTTTTAGGGGACTTGGTATAGAAACTGTATTTGCAAATATATTAAAAGTTTACATAGATCCTGGAAATTTAGTTCTAGTTCTAGGAACTACAAACCACGATGAAGAGTATTTTATTGATTTTTTAAAAAGCCACGGACTTCAACAATTACCTCGTGTTGTATCTTCCGAATATAATTCTGATGAAAGGTTTATATTCTAATTAATAACTTCTTTTTGAATTAAATTTATTTTGTTTCACATTTTCATTTTGCTATTTTTTAAAAATTATAGGGAAGGAATGTATTTGGAAGGTGGTGTGTTATTCATGTCAGGACGGATTCTTATAGTAGATTTCATAAAAAAAAGAGTTCCACTGAATTTAATTACTGGAATTCTTATATACAGAGCACATAATATCTTGAATTCATATCAAGAAGCATTTGCTCTTCGTTTGTACAGACAGCACAACAAAGTACGTATTAGAAAAAGACATAAATTCTTATTATATACAAAGTATTCTTAATTTCACAAATTTTTGTAGATTGGTTTTATTAAAGCTTTTACTAATTCAGCATTGGCATTTACTGTTGGGTTTATGCAAGTAGAACGAGTAATGAAGGCTTTATTTGTTAAAAAATTATATTTATGGCCGCGTTTTCATACGCTTGTAAATAGTAGTTTAGAACAACATAAGGTAATAACATTATACCAATATTCTGATATATTATAAATTTTAATATAAAAATTTATATATATTATATTAAACAATTTCGTTTAGCCCGATGTTATTGAGCTACACATAAAAATTACACCGAAAATGTTAAACATTCAAACTTCGTTACTCGATGTAATGAATTATATTATAAAAGAATTAAAAAGGCTTAATAAATACGTAAGTATAAAATTTAAACTGCTATATTATACAAAAACTAAAATTTGTTTATTTCCCTTATTTTCATTTTTATGCAGTTGGATTTAGATGATTTAACTGTTGAAAATGCAATAGCCAAAAAATTCCATAAACAATTACAGTCTCAATTAGATCCTGTTTGGCATCAACTTAGTTCTACTTCAAAACAATTAATATCTGATTTAAAAATGTTACGTGCTCTTCTCGCGTAAGTATTCCAAAAATTAAGTAAATAAAATTTATTTATTTCCTACTAAGACATAAAAATACAATTTAAGGTGTTTAACATATGAAGATTCTGTATCATTTTATGCAATGTTAAATCGCTTACGTACTATGGAATATGCTGTAAAAAATAGTGGCTGGCTAATGTTAGATTCTGTAGATTCCTTATTTAAAAATGCAAGAGATAGAATTTATAACGAAAGAAATGGTGAGCTTTTTTTTTTATAAAATTTTTATAAAAAAAAATTATTTTCATTATAGTTTTCGTAATTTGACATATTATTTCAATATAGAATTAAAACCTGAAGCTACTCCAAAATGGACTGCTTTAACAGAAGTATTAGTTGAAATTCAGAATGACAGTAAAAAAAACGATGATAAAAATGCTGAAAAAATCCTTATTTTAGTACATGATCGTAATATTTGTTATCAGTTAAGAAATTATTTAACTATGGGTGCCAATGAATATTTACTTTATGAAGCATTGAAGAAACTTTCTCATAAAGAAATCGAAAAACCGATGTACGTAATAAAATAGTAAAAATTTTTATATAAACATTTTTACAATATCTAATTTATCTCAACAGTGAAAAAAATATAGAGGAAGAGTCCATATCTACAGAAAATACTGAACATAATACAAATGAAGAACAGGATGCTTATGTATTAACATTATCTCAAAAAGTCAGAGAAGACAGTCAATCTGATTCAGCAACTGAAAGTAATAAACATCAGACTTTATTTGAAGATTGTTCACAAGTAAGATCTCTTGTACTATGTAGTAATAATATGAAATTTAAAAAATTTTGTATAAATTATCTTTTTAGATTGCAGATTTGGATTTAACCAACATAAATACAAATACACCTGTTGTTTTGATACAATCTTTAAAAAGAGGTGGTGATCCAATGGCATTGCAACGTGCTTTAACAGAACATATGCCAACCAATATCATTATGTATGTGGCAGACATCTCTGCTGTACGACAAATTGAAGTATGTGTGAAATTAATAAAATAATTTTTCTAATTTTTCTATTGAAGTACAATTATTACTTAAATGTATTTCTCTATATATAGGTTTATCAAAATAATAATCCATCAATAGATTTAAAAGTATATTTCTTAATCTACGAGGGTTCAGTGGAAGAACAAGAATATCTTACGTCTTTACGACGAGAAAAAGAAGCATTTCACCTATTAATTAATGCTAAAACTGTATGTTACTGTATTTCAGAACCTTTATATATGTATAAATTATAATGTAGTACATTTTTATCTCAGACAATGGTTATCCCTGATGACCAAGATGGAAAAACTGAAGATTGTTTAAGTCTTGCAATACAATCGGATGCAGATGGTGAAACGAGTACACGTAAAGGTGGATTATCAAAAGAATTTGAAATTTCTAGTACTGTTATAGTTGACATGAGAGAATTCAGAAGTGAACTACCTGCTATACTTTATACACGAGGCATAACAGTTGAACCTATAACGTTACAGGTACAAAGTTTAAAAATTTAAAATGATTTAAAGATAGACAGTATTTATACTATAATTATATTTATAGGTGGGAGATTACATTTTATCGCCAGATATTTGCGTCGAAAGGAAAAGTATTTCTGATTTAATTGGTTCTTTAAATAGTGGGAGATTATACAATCAAGCAATTGCTATGACAAGACATTATAGCAAACCAATGCTTCTAATAGAATTTGATCCAAATAAACCATTTTGTTTTCAAGTATAGACATATAGTATATTATATTTCATATACTATAACATACTAATCATTTATACGTTTCATTTCATTAAAAGATAAAATTCTTGATTGTAGGGATATTATTATGCTAGCAAAGATATTCAAAATACTTTTATTACTTCAAAATTGCAACTTTTAACTTTGCATTTTCCTCGTTTGAAACTTGTATGGTCACCTGGGCCTCATGCAACGGCACAATTATTTGAAGAATTAAAGGTAATAAAATCGAATTATATTTTATAAAATTTAGACTTAAAATAATAAATCTATTTCGTTCATATTACTAACTTACCATATAAATTTATAGCAAGGAAAAGATCAACCAGATTCAGCGAAAGCTGCACAAATTGGAATTGAAGAAAATAAAGAAATATTAGTAGATAAATATAATCCTCGAATTCAAGATTTTGTTTCAAAATTACCTGGAGTTACTACAAAAAATTTACATTTGATTTTAAGTAAAGGACAATCATTAGATCATTTGAATAAACTTACTAAAGTATGATTTAAAACGATATTATTGAATTTTCGAATAATATAAAGAATAGCACATATAAATAATATTTTCTTTTTAGGAAGAACTTACCGAATTGCTTGAAAATCAAATCGAGGCAGAAATGTTATACAACGCGTTTCACGAAAAAATTTCTTCAGCTGAAGAAAACTCTAACACAAATAAAAAAAAAACAACTAAAGGCCGTGGAAAGAAGTTGTTTACTAAAATTAAATAGTAATATTTTAAATATTTTTAATATATGTTTTTTTCTACAATACTAATTATTTATAGTATGTTCATATAATATCTAAGATTTGTGATACTATACTATAACTTGTATGATATATAAAAAATTGTGCACGTATAAATTTTCATTAAAAAATAAAAAGTAAAATATTTTTGTGTATTAAAATTATAGTTTTTGTTACGTTTTTATTCATCTTGCATTTTAAAACATTTTATTAGACACAGTATAGCTTTATTCAATATTTCTTCCAATAGCGACATACACTCTTCTGAGACTAATATATTATTAACATGTTTTAGTTCAAATATTCTGTAATTATAAAATATAAAAATGTAGTTCAATAAAAGATAATACTTTTTTCAATAAAAAATTAAATGATATACTTTTCTATTTGTGAACTTCCACATTTCAGAGAGATGATAGACTCTTTTGTAGCTTTTTTAATAGATTTTAACACTATTTCATGCGCAATTTCTAATATTTTATGTATTATTGCGTGAGTATTCATTGAAACATGTTGCAAGCAAAACTAAATATATATATATAAAATTAGGTTTAAAAACATTAAATTGTTACTAACAAACTAGGATTTTTATTTGTAACATTTAACTTACTTCATTATGTTCATGATGAAAAATGTAAGCTAAAATAATTTTAGAAATCTCTGAAATAAATGTTAGTTTTTCTCGTTCAGTCATTATATCTGGTTGAAAATTCAATAATAAATCGTGAAGCTTAGTAGTCGTCGTATCATACTTTTCCATACCAACTAGATGAATTTTTTCATGCACACGCATATCCATTCCTATAAAAAATCATGTCTTGAGTATTTGTGTTCACAGAGTATATACTAATATTCTATAGAACTCTTAATTTCTAAATACCTGGTTCATAGTCACTTGAAAGACAATAAAAACCACTTAAATATCGTTCAACCATCAAAAGTGATACAGTATCACGAACATCCAATCTATCCACAATATTATCTAACCATGATGTAATAAAATAAAAATCAAATGCAGTGTCAGTAAATGCTACATCTCCTTCTATACTTGCTGATGGTTGATGTCTCTGAAATAAGAGCAATAATTAAATATATTTAAGTTGAACAAGAATACAATATAAATATAATTAGAAATATAACTGATTTCAATCATATTAACAAGGAAGATTTTTGATTCTGTCTCCATCTTAATTTCATCACCAAAAATATATTCTCCACATTGTGAAATTACTATTTCTTTAATAGGATGTTCATAATATGTTGAAATATCTTCTAACATTTTTAAAGTTTTAGTACCATCAATGAGTTGTCTTTGTACAAATTTTAAATTAATTTATTTCGCAATTAATGTTAATCTATTTTAATTATACCAGACGTTCAAAATTAATGTATGTAACTCACCCAAAAGCAACATAAAAATGGTTCATCCAAGGATTTGGTTTTAAACATATGATAAATTGTGATTTATTATAATGTTTCCCATCATTTATCAGTGAAAGAACTCCTCGACGATCGTGAGGAACACAATAAGACTCATCAGATATTTTAACATCACCAGCATTTTTATCCAATTCAGATGATTCAAATCCTAAAAAACATTAAAGCTTAGAATAAAACTAACGGTAGCTACGTTGAAAATACTCAGGAAACAAAAATTAATTTATATAATCTTGAATTATACCTCCACACTGGATCCATCCATTTTTTACTATACGATGTAAATGTGTGTTTATATAATAAGCATTTTTGTAACATTTTTGCATCTCATCATACCCAGAGCAAAGATTTAAGAAATATTGACAAGTTAATGGTAACAAATCAGAATATAGCTAAATTAATATAATATTTAACACAAAAATTTTTCAACATTTTTATGCATTTTAAATCAAATTGTACAAATTCTTACCATAAATACAAATGAACCAATAGGTGAATCATCTATAGAAAATGTGAAATACACATATTTTCTCTAAAATTTAATAATACTATGTTAGTGCATAATTTATGCTATTAGATTATCATATATGATAATATATAAGATTGTTTACGTAACAGAGGACAATTTACTTTAGATTTTTCCATAAATTTTTTACAACACTCTGTAGCAAGATTTTCATAATATTCTACATTAATAGGTAAGCTAAATATATAATCTTGACATATATAATTTAAGAATTGTACATCACTACCAAGAAATTTATTATTTATAAAAACAGCAACAGTTCGTGTTAAGGACCATATTTTACCACCTCCAATTTGCTAAAGACATATAGATATAATTATTAATATTGTAATATGTTTTAACAAATAGATTAAACATAGTTTATTACTCTTTTCATTTTAAGAATATATTCATGCCATTCTACTTGAAACATTTCTATAATTTGTGGCGTGGAAAATTTAAATGACAAATGTTGATATAATTTCTCTGCACATAGTCGTGCCCTCTGAAAAGCAATAGTATTTATAATACCTATTACTTTAATTTGGATATAATCATTTCTGAAAGAATTTAAACAATATTTGTTAGATAATTCTCTGTTGTCTTTATTTTGCATAACTGTATGAATTAATTTTAATTTTTCTTGATTAAATTACTTAAGATAATAATTAAATTTAACAGTAATTTATAAGTTTTTTAAATATTATTACAATGAAGATCGCTATAAAGATAGATCGACACTTCCCCACTGAAGTTATGCAAAATTAACAAAAAGAAAAGAAAAAAATGAAGAATACATCTAATGAAAAGAGTTTATTGTCTTCTAAAAGCCAACTTTTTACTATTTGAAAGTAATCTCACAAAATTAATTTATGATCGTACTTGATACAAAAGATATAAGATATAACTCAACTAACAAATTCATTCTAATAACAAGATATATATATATTTTTGTATTTTTTGGGAACTTTTTATTATTTAAATGTTTCATGCATTGCCTCTGTAATATTTTCAATATCACTTTCTTCATCACTAGTACTACTTACATCCAAATTATATAAAAAGGATTCATTTTCATGCATAGGAAAATAATATCTGAAATTTTTTATTATTAGTATGTAAAAGCTTTAATTAATTTAATAAACTATAATTTCATATGAATGAAATACTAACTCTGGTTGATCCCATACTTTTTGTACAGGTATTTTAAAATGATTTTGTTCCTTCATATGTTCTAAAACATTATCCATTTTCATTCCACAAAAAACACATTGTTTTAAATAAATTTGTCTTCTAACATAATTAACTACTTTTACCTGTTCCAAAATCACAATTTTGATAACAATTTATATTTCACTTTACTGCTGAAAATATATATAATAAACTTACTTTTTGATAAAATGTTAAGTCTTTTGATGCAATTTTAAAATCAAAATCATGTTCTGTTTTCATATGTACAAGCACAAGATGAAAATGCTTATTACTGTAACTACAGAATAAGCACGATATTCCTATGCCCTCATCATTCCAATCTGACCATGTATCTTCATCCTCATTTTCACTGCTTTGATCTCCTACTACATCATTTTCATTGCAAGTAATCTAACAGAAAAAATTATGTATTTATGTATTTTTATTTTTCATTATTCATATGTACATGTATCTTATATACTAATTTTGATATATTTATATATTTCAGTAATAAAATACCTGTTTATGTCTCCATGATTTTCCTGGTTCCAGATAATTATTTATATAAAATTTATCATATTCTTTGTTATGGGGATTTATCCTTTTGTGTAGTTTTTTACGCATATGCTCCTTTAAAGCTGTGCGATCTTTAAATAGTTTTTCACAATATATGCATATTAAACTGAAAGAAAATTTTTTGATACTAAAATAGCATATATTTAATTACATGTTTGTATATCTTACTTTTCAATAGAAGTTTCAATTTTATCTAAAAATTCATCTATGAATACCAAATTGTCTGGTTTCCCAAGGTATAAATTATGCTTTTGGGCTAAATGCTTTATATAGGTAATACGTAAACCAAAAAATTCTGTTCTACAAAACATACAACCACGTTTGAAGTTAGTATCTGTTCTTTCTCTTGCTTGTTCTGATAAAACCCATTCCTTAAAAAAATAAAAGCAATATTTTCTAATGTTTTATAGTAACATTTATGGAAAACATTTATAAATTATGTAGTAATACCAGTTTTGCTTGATGTATTTCAACTCTTAAAGTTTTATCTTCTGAAATGCAGTCAGAAAGTAAATAATATTTTTCATTTTCACTTGGTTCTCCAGAAGGGGTACAATTCATTAACATTGTGCTACAAAATTTAGTCAAAGGTTCTTCATTAAATTTAACACCCCAGTAATGTATATAACTGAAAATTATACAAATTTTTAATGTTATAAAAAGTTCAATTTTTAATGAAAATAAATTATTTCATATAAATTAATAATGAAACCTTTTTAAACTAGCAATATTCCAAACATCTGCTATTATAAGATGATGTTCTTTGAATAAATGAGACAACAATTCTTTCTCCTTTTCAGGAAGCACAAATTTTTCATCACACAAAACACATTTTATATTACAAGGTTTATCATCAAGTCCAACAAATTGAGATTTATATACAGTATAATCTTCATCAAAAACACTGTTCGTAGACGGGAAATTTTTATATTTTTCTATAACATAATATTGTACACTATATACTATTTTTAAATTTTATAACTATATACAATCACAAAATCAAATAAAATATAAATGTCTGAAATATATACCTTTGGAACTCATAGCTAATTCAGATTTATTTCAGAAATTCCTTTTATGCAATAGGTTAAATATCAATTATTTTATTTATTAGACTACTACATAATCATATTTTTGAAAGTAAATGTATAGTTTCTTTACGTTTTAGATAAATTTACTATTTTGATGATATTAATTGCACAAAAATATTAAAATACATCAATATTTATTAATAAACACTTTGTTCTGTCAAAGAAATCATACAATCACATGTCACTGTAGTTCAGTTAAAATGAAAAGTTTCTATTGGATAAAGTTAGAATGTTTTTCTTCATTGGAATATTTGAATAAGAAATAAATAATAACGTACTATGAGATAAGTTTTTTGAAGAAATTACAATTATGTAGAAATTTTTGTAGAAATTGCAATATATCTCGTTAATTTAAACAATGTATAAATATAAAGAAATATATGTAGTTCTGCATTTACAATAATTTTTGTATGTTTTATACAAGAATTTAATTTTATTTAAAATGCAATATTAAAGTTTTAATGTTATTATTAACAAAGATAAAAATAATTTAAATAATTCTTAAATGTTAGATTGACATATTTTTTAAATGTGGATATCTTCAAAGACATAGTTGATTCTAAAATTAAATTAATAGGAAGGTAAAAAGGGAAAGACAAACACATATATTATACAAAAATGTTTATTTCTCTTTTTCAGTATTAGATTTGTCTTTTATAAAACCTAATAACAACATCAAATGGCATATATGTAATGAAATGCTGCTAAAAATGGTACTTGGATAAGTGTTCCAGCATAATTCTATTATGCCCAAAATTGTTAACTTTATTACAGTCTTATAATCTGTACACCATGCAATGTAAGGAAGTGTATGGTAATACCATATATAAAATTGATAATGCAATGATCTACTGTACATTATACCAATAAAATTTGCAGCAAACATTGGAAAAATAAATAATTGACTGACTGTAGACATATCTACTTTCTCTTTCTTTTTTAATCGAGGCTGCAAGTTTTTTTCTAGAAACTTTAATTTTGCATATGATTTCATATATTTTATCCATGTTGGTATACAATAAATTAAAGTCAATATATGCAACACTAACAGTGATATGTGAAAATATGGATGAATAAAAATATATTCTGGCAGAAACCTCCAATTTACAGTCCATTTAAACTCAAAAACTCTTCCAAGATTAAAAGCACTTTTTACATATGCAAATGGATTGTTCAGCAAAAAAGGAAGACCTAATATTAATTGAATTGAAGCACATATAAATAAATGTATTGCTGTCTTGAACATTCCTAAATTATACATGTAAGTAATGAGAAGTGCTGGTGCAAATAATAAAATGTTCATTTTTACAGACACAGCCATACTATAGAAAATACTTCCTAAATACCAATGGTCATCTAAAAATGCATTCAGACTAGCAAATAACAATATCATTGCAACTGGATCATTAAAAAGTCTCAAAGTAAATATAGAATGAACTCTATAAGATGTACAACACATAATTATCAAGATATATGGAGGAACTTTCTTAGTTTTCGCATAAATTCGGAAAACTAACGTAAGCAGCACAATATAAAGAACTGCAAAAAAGTATTGTGCTATTTTTATCTTTGTCCCATGTTCCGTGATGAAGTACAATATCGAAAATATATAAACAAATCCTGCAGGATAGACTAATGGTCCTGTGTCACCTTTTAATTTCGAATAATCCAACGTTCCATTCAAAAAACCCTCAACTTCTTGCATGTATGCCTTCCAGTCGATTTCTGTATATGGTATCCTTTCGATAACCAGTATATTTAAAACGATTTCCAATATAATAAACAATCTTCCAACAAAAAACAGTTTTCTTGGATCTGTAAATAGGGAACCCAATTTTCCCCATTCTACGTAATTTTCATACCACTTCTTGGTATTTTTCTTTAGTGCTTTTGTTACATTGAGGTTAGATCGAAATTCTTTGCGTGGTGCCATATTGCTATAAACACACGTGTTCATTCAGGTATGCACGATAATCTTTTTTTTCTTTACTTTTAGAGGGTTCGTATGAACCAATTGCGAGACGCTATGTTAAATGTGAGTCAGAGCATGTCAGAACCAATCAGAATGCGCCAGCTGGGATTCCGGGTTTTTGACAGAATCCAACGTGTATAAAGTGTAGCGTGGATTGAACTTATGTAGTTGTATTAAAAATTTGGTTGCAATAGTGAAGTGAATGAATTAAAAGTTGTAGAGTGTTTGTGTTACGAATTAGTAAGAATATTTTAGTAATACACGAATTACTTTATCAGCACAATAATATGTAAGTTGTGCTCCATTAACGTTTATGTTAACCTTGTAAACATAAATATACTTATAGTTTTATTCATTTTTGTTATTCTTTTCTCTTTTAAATTTCCATCAGTATTTCATTTCTATTTAAGAAACATAAGTTTCTGTTGTGATTTGTAGTTTAAGAGATCGTGTACTTAAAGTTCTCAGAGATCATAATTTTTTACAGAAAATACATTCAAAATGAATTGTTCAGTATTATTAACACTCTCTATTGTTGTTGGATTGGTATATACTGTTATTGCTTTGAAAAATGACGAATGTGAAGGTAAATTAATATTTGATCTATCCTTTAATCATTTATTATCTTTCTAAATCTGATAATATTTTAGTATGTATAAATACTGTGGAAAAATTTGTGAATACTTTAAGTGAAGATGTAAAGAAAGACACAAAAAAGATAGAAACAGCATTTAAAGACTTTTGTAAAAGTACTAAATCTAAAGAGAACAGATTTGTAAGTATTTGAAACAATGAACACAATAGTGATATTTTATTTATGTGATTTATAATTATATTAAATAATTTTTGGGTTTGTTTTAGTGTTATTATTTAGGTGGTTTGGAAGAATCTGCCACAGGTATTTTAAGTGAATTAAGTAAACCTATATCTTGGTCTATGCCTGCAAATAAAGTATGTGAAAAATTGAAGAAGAAAGATGCTCAAATATGTGACTTGAGATATGGTATGTTTATTATTAACTGTAATGGAATTAAATTTCTTAATCCTTTACTTACAATTTTTTAATTTAATTGTAGAGAAACAAATTGATATTAATACTGTTGATTTGAAAAAGCTTAAAGTACGTGACTTGAGGAAGATCTTGAGTGACTGGGATGAGACATGTGATGGTTGCATAGAGAAAACAGATTTTATTAAACGAATTGAAGAACTGAAACCAAAATATTCTCATAGTGCAAAATCAGAACTCTGAAAAGTGTTCAATGTAGATAAATTATTATGTTAGTGTGGCTAAGCTTTGGGGTATTCTTTTTTACAAAATGATTAATAATATTTATATGTTTCTTCATTCTGAATATGAATGTGTAAGATATCATTTTGTACAATTAATTTGTGAAATTTCTAAGAGCCAGTATACATATGCATTTAAATTTTAATAAGTAATGTTAAATTATACTTAATTCAGCAATATCTTGGACATGGATCTAAGAAATTAAGAAATTAATAATGTTGAGCAATGAAAATTTGTTAAAAAGGGATGATTCCTTTTAGTGTAGCCATGCTAATACAAATTAAATATCATAAAAGGTGCTCCGTTTTTATCATACCAATGTTAGAAAAATATAAATAACTCAAATTTTTCATACAACAAATTATTTTCATGTTTTTATTTTTCATTGCTCTTCCTCGACTATTCATATACAGTATGTTTATACATGTAAATCCTATTTATATCAAGAAACTGTGTACTATATAAACATATATGTATTTGTGATGATTATTAATAATGTGTAATATTAATTTCTTTTTTATACTACATTGAAAATCATAACTTTCTCCTAATCTTTTCAACATATTCTTCTCAATACATTTAAAAAATTGTATACAATACATTTACCTTCTCAAACCATGATTTTATCAATTAATTTAAATCAGAAATTTATTAAATTGTTAAATTTAGTTTGATTTGCAATTATACTTAAACATATGAAATATTTGGTGTACAGTAACATTATTTTATGAAAATGTACGTATGAGATGTAAAACAAAAAGGTATAAAATCATACAAATTTAATAATTGTGGTCCTTTAATAAAAAAATTATCAAATTGCTATATTAATTTATTTTAAATTTGTACGTAAAATCATAGTTATATTAATTGTTTTGTTTTTATTAATTGTCATTACAATTTGGTAAATCGCTCCAATGTCCATCAGCCTTACATGTAATTAATCCTTGCTTTTTACCACCAGGACATACATATGTCAATTGATCTTGATACAAATAAGATCGACCACGAATTGTTGCGCCAAATGGAAGTTTTGGTTTATTACATGAAAGTTCTATAAATATCAATCAAAAAAGAATGATACATTATATTATGTGTTACATATAATACTGATAAACTTACTTGAACATCTACTATACATTCTGGACCATTTTCCATTTGCAAGACATCTTGTGTTTCTTTGACCAAGCATTATATATCCAGGTATGCATTCATAAGTAATTGTATAATTAAATGTATAATTTACTGCTTTGATATTATTTTCTTTTAACACTGCATTTGTAATTTTTGGTGGTTCTTTACATGTTACAGCTAAAATAAACGATTATTTTTTATTTATTATATAAACTTTTGAATAAAAATCTTTAAAAATATTTACTTTATGACAAAACTTACGTTTACAAGAAGGAATAGCAGTCCAAGTATTATTTGGAAGGCAGACAGATTTTTCATTGCCTTCAAGAATATAGCCTTGATGACATTTGAATGTAATAGTGTTATTAACAGTTCTTTTATAATTTGTTTCAGTAATGTAACTATATTCTGGAATCTAATAGTAATTTAATATTAGTTTCATAATTTAAAACTGTACTTGTTTCTGAATAATTATATTATTCTCAAATAATTATAGTATATTATTTACCATTACTAAATCACACATAGATTTTTGACAAATACTATCAATTTCATTATTAAGCAAGAGTGATGTTTTTATGATGGTGTCATTTAAGTGTGTATCAATTATTTTCCATTTACCATATTCATCACAAAACCAAGTTAAGTTAGAAACAGAATTTTGAATATTTGCATTACTCAACTGAATTTCTCCATCATTGCAACTAAGAACTATTTTTTTCATATAAGTATGTCCCTCTATAAAGTACTCTATATTCTTATAAGTACCATTATATGGTTCTTTGCCATTAAATTTTTTATTCTGATCATTTTTCCAAATTGCAGTATGATTATTTAGATTTATTTCTTCATTAAAGATTTGAAAAAATGGATGACTTAAGATAGGACATTCATAAGGTTCGCAAGACGATAACGTGGATGACCATTCTTCATCGTCTGTGCAAATTCTAAAACCGTCACCAACTAATTTATATCCTATGTCACAGTTTATCGCAATTTCGGTACCAATGACAAATTGGTCTTCCAAACTCCAATTCTTTTTTTCTATTTCTAGAAGTTTAATAATACCATTGTTTTTTGTTTTAAACAATAATTTCCCATTATTCACAATGTCGGGCCACGAACACATTAAAGGTACACAATCAGGAACAAATCCAATCCAAGTACCATTTTCTGTACATTGAAGTTTAAATGCATTTAACAAACTATGATTGCCCTCAAATTTATATCCTGAATAGCAAGAATATTCCACAATATCATTAAAATTGTAGTCCTTAAATGTGTCATTAATCGCTTGCAGATCAACTTTTGTAGCGAAAGTTTCGTGCAAATTATTTGAATTTGAAGAAATTACATATCCGTGCTTGATTCTAAATATTAAAATGTTAAAATATTAAAATCTCATAAAAAATCATTTATTTAGAATGAAATTTTTTTGCAAGTGTGACTATATTTCTTACTCCTTTGGTGGTAGACATTTATAAGCCAAACACGAAGGCACTTCATGATCCCATTGTCCAGATTCCAAACATGTTAAAAGTTTTTCACCTTTTAATTGAAATCCGGGGTCGCACTTGAATTCAATTTGCTGTCCTACCTATGAATATCGTTTAATAAAAATTACTTCCTTTTTTGCAGTATTTGCAAATGAATCATACCTGTAGAATGGAAAGATCATCTCTTTCGTATTCTTCTATCACGTACTCGATATCCCCGTGCTCTGGAGCTAATAAATTCTTGCATGTTTTTCCTGTTACAAACAATTGTTGAAATATAAGAAAATTAGAAATAAATAATTGGTAGATATTAATAATAAATACTAGAAGTGTACGATCTTTACCTATACAAACTGGAGGTAATCCGCTCCATTTTCCATCAGCATTACAGGTTCTACGAGGATTTCCTCGAAGTTCATAATTAATTAAACAAAAATAATATATTTCATCTCCGAAAAAATACGATCTACCATGTATGCGACCTCGCGGAAAATATCCTGGGAATCCGCATCTCCTTCCTTAAATGAGATCAATCAAATCAACTAATTAATCACAAGTAGACTACGATCTAAAGTATCTTAGCTTACTAATGCAAACGGGTGTGTAATATCCTTCCCACTGTCCTTGTTTAAGACATTTCAGTGTCAAAGATTGGTATTCTCTGCCACGAAATCGTACTACGTAACCATTATCGCAATAATAAGTGATGTTTGACCCATCTTCGCTGACATTTACATTACCTTTAAATGGTATAACGGGTAATGGACAGTCACGGCAAAATGAAGTGTTTGACACCTAGAAAATATTGGGAACAAGATGAAATTCATCATAAAATTCTAATAAATGTAAAAGGCACCTATATCAAGAAATAATTACTGCCACGTCACCGTGCACATATTCTTGCACCTGTGCCCATGCAATTACATCACCATGGTATTTTTCGCAAGTGTTGAACAAGTGTTTGATATCTTTAGCTACTAAAACTGTACTCCAAATATCTAATAATGTTAATTTTCCCAAGAAGGATTCTAACTCTGAAAATCCTCCTCCGACACGATCTTGTTCTTGTCCAATTATGAGAATTCCATTTCCTAATCGAAAATTTTATTAATATCGCGTGTTAATGTACGTATTAATATTTAATATTATCTTTAATATACCTTGAATGAATGTTCCTTTTGCCAAGTGGGTGCCGTTGTCTCTCAAAAGGCCATCGATAAAAATATTCCAAGAGCCATTCTCTGCTTCCCAGGTGAAACAAACGAAATGCCAATGACCATCATTTACTTTAATATCGGTTATTACTTTTTCACCATTGAGATATATTACCAGTCTACAAAATCAAGACAGTAATATTTGATGTGAACCAAGATTTTGTAGATATGTATTAAGAAGAGTATTTTATTACCCGTTATAATCTGTTAAAGTGAATGCGTTATCGTAGTAACGTGTAGCATACGATAATACGGTGCCATAATTAAACATATCCTTCGATTGTAGCCATAAACACGTAGTTAACTAAAATTAACACTCCGGTAGAATAAAAACAAATTGTAATGTTTAATATTATCTATTACCTTAGAAAGATTTATCGTAAAGCTTTTCATACTGATATAATCGGTGATACCCGATTTGGAGAACTGTATCGTGTAATCGGATAACAATTCTATAAAGACACGATAAATTATTCAAGAAATTTTTTAATTGTAAAATTATTATTATTTGTGCAAATTAATACTTAATATAAATATTAAGACTATACTTTCCAGTCTCGCAATGACGTCCTGTAAATAACATAGGGCACGTACATGTGTAATTAGAGATATTATTAGTGCATTTCCCATTGTTCAAACATGGATTGCTTTCGCAATGATTTATCTTCACAGTACAATTTTCTCCAGTGTAACCATCCGCACACACGCATCTGATAATCAAAAAATTGTTTATTTTTTATTAATAAATTATTATTATTATTATTAATAAATATATTCACCTATAACTCATAGTTGTTGCATTTTCTTCTTCAATGTTCACACAATACGAGTTTTTGTTGCATGGTAACCAATCACAGGGTAATAAATTACAATAACGACCGAGAAAACCTGGTTTGCAGAAACATTTCCAAGAGTCGTTAACATTGTGACAAGTAGATCCTTCCATACAGGGTGAAGGATTGCAATGATCCACAGTAGTCTCACAAAATTCTCCTGCAATAATATATTTCTGAAATATTAATTATTTAATAATATTTATTGATATAATTTCTTGGAAAATATACCTTGGAAACCATGTTTACATTCACAGGAATAATCATTTTCTGTGCTCAGACATGTACCGTTGTTTTGACAAGGATTAACGGTACATTCGTCAATGTACAACTACAAATTTTACTTTCTATTAATTTATTTGTACTGTGTGCTTGTACTGTGTTCATTTTTACAAATAATAATTGTTTTACCTCACAATTTCTACCTGAATATCCATTTTTGCATGTGCAAGAGTACATTATTGTATTGTTCGTGAAACTCAGAATATTACATGTACCTTCATTCAAACATGGTAAAGAATCACATGGATTTTGGAATGTTTCACATTTAGAACCTAACAAGTAATTTTATGTATAGTTATATTATTTATTTCAAATTATTATTCAATGAAGTAAAAGTAAATTAAATAATTACCGACATAATAGTCAGGACATTCGCAACTGAAACTGTCCTCTTCTTGTACACATTGTCCATCATTTAAACACGACTTTGTATCACAGATATTAATTTCGATTTTATAAAGAGGTAGACAGTCATTTATGGTTTTAGATCCATGATTTCTAGTAGTAGTGTCAGGTGGACACGAAAGGCAACGAGTTTGACCATATTCTGGTTGATAAAATCCAATGTCACAGATTAGGCAAGGTTCAAGTGCTAATCGCGTGTTTTGATAACGCTTTTTTCGCGAATAGTGTCCTGGTCTGCATAAATCTAAATAAAAGTAAATCAAAGGATAATAATTTTTGTAAAAATAGAAGAAATATATAATGACAAAGATAAATTAATATCGAAATGAAAAATAAAAAGGGAGATTATAAAATACTTGCGTATACAATCTTGCAGAGATTTTGAATGAATTTTCTTCGTCGAAGTGTATTCAGGACAATGTTTGCATTTCAAAGATCCAGGCACGTTTTGATATTCTCCAAGAGAACATGATTGGCATCGTTTGGTCGTGGAATTGAAGAAAGTTCCCAATGGACATTTTACTAAAATTTAAATAAACATAATCATGAAATATTAACATTTTCTCAATGTATGAAAAAAATTCGTTCAGTTACATTTACCGCAAGTGTTCTTCTTCAAGATACTTCCTGGATCGCAAAGTTCCTCAAAATTCTTAAAAATGAGATGCAAATTTAGCGCAAGCTTCGCTATTTCTTGATTTGTTCTATTGTTCAATAAATTTAATTTCCCAGATCGAGACAAAGATTCGAGCTTCTGTCGCAATTTCTGGATTCCTTTTCGCGGATTTTCGTGATGCTCCTCAATTATCTTTCCTATATTAAATAGGAGTATTATATATATTCAAGATTAATTTCGATACACATTCCTTTAAATTTTCATTAAAATTTTATCGAGAGAAAATTACCTAAAAAATTGAATTTCAGTTCAATTTTTTCTTTCTTCTTTCTTATTTTCGTTTTACTTCTGTTAGCATTCATTTTCATATCTCGTTTTGCTTTTGTACTAATATCATTCATTGTCATTATACCATTTCTTAATAATTTAGAAATATCATAGTTCAGTTCCCTTCGTTTTTTTATCATACTGGAATACATTGTACTTGAAGATGGGAGAATTTCTTCGCATTCAGGATCGAAAGTAATGACATTACATTCGATATCGTTTCCGCAAATGTCGAGCAACGTCGATATTAAATCGGCAGTAATATATTTGCTCAGCTAAATTAAATAATAGTAAAAATCGTTTCTCACGAAATTACGTAAGTTGAGGAATGGAGAATTAATCAATACTTACCTCGCGAAGTGTTGTTTGATTATCGCATACATTTGTTGCATTTCCTTCTAATACAATACTTCCCTCTTGGGATACACTTCTTGGAATTGTAGTTTCTAGACAATAGTAAAAATGAAAAACTCTTTACATTATGTCCTGTATCAGATTACGTTTTATCAATACTGTAATTTCTCTCTATGATTTATTATATATTTATTATATAAATTGTATGTATCAAATCACATACCTGTACATTCGGGAATGTAGTTTTCTTGAAGCCAATTTGATGTATTTCCGTTGCATTTCAATAGCAATATATTTTCCACGATTCCAACATTCGATTCGTCAGTTGCGAATCCATATCCTTCTTCGCAAGTTATAGTGCACTCATTCGTGTCGTTCATTGATGATGATGGATGACACTTTGAGTAACCATTCAATATTTTTGGAACTTCTTCACAAGCGTCTATGTAAAAGAAATTAAATGTATAATTAATTAAATTATGTACATTATTTTATGAAGTACATATTAATTCTGTTAATGCACCTTTTATAGTAACGTTTAACACGCAAAACGCTTTATTATCGTACTTGTCGGTGGCATTATATATCACTTGCGTTAACCCGATAGGAAACATGTTCTCCCCAGGAAGATAATTTTGTTCGACTTGTACAGGTGTTTTGGAATTGTCGTGAAAACCAGGTTCGTTCCAAGTCACGTTATTTATTCCAACTCCATTATCGGTGAAAAATATCGGAGGATCTACGCAATTCTCGATCATTGGTGGTTCTTTATCTGCAGTATTATTATATTACAAACAATCATCTTATACTCAGAATATGTTTATATTATAATCTTACTGATTAATACAATCGAAATTATCTTACCTAGAACTTTAACTTTGAATTTGCATCTAGCTCTATTTCCAGATGAGTCTTGTGCCACATAGATTATTGTACGTGTTCCAATTTTTACTTTCCACGGAAAACTAATGTATGGCTTACTCCATAATACAGGTGATTCGTCCACATTGTCAGTTGCGTTTGGCACTGTCCAATTTACATAAGCATATTTCTTGCCTGGAAGGCTCTCCGTGATAATATTAGACGGGCAGGTTATCGAAGGTGGTATTTTATCTTAGAGGGAACAATAAATTAATACAATAACTTGAAAAATCATAAGGACTGAAATTCCTAAATTGTAATATAAATTATAATACATTACCTACGCATCGATTAACAGTTTTACGTTGCGACCAGACTCCAGAACGGCCGCTACAATGTCTAGAACGTGGTCCCTCAAGTATGAAACCCTTTTTGCACGATATGGTACAATTCGATCCAAATGGTAGTTTCTCCGGTCCCAAACAATTCTCAGGTGAAATTTGTCCATTTGCAACTAGCTTTAGAGGTTCACATTTTATTGCTATAAACAGTAATCTTTTGTAACTGTCTTTATTGAATCTTGCGAAACCAGAGTACTATATATATATATATATATATACACAATTGATATTGAGAAAGATTTCAAAATTCACCTTTACATGTAGCTTTGAGACCATCCCATTGTGACAAAGGCAAACAGTTGCGTATTTTACTTCCGCGAAGTTGATAACCGGTTTCGCATCTGAACTGACAACGGGAATCGATCGGATACGTTGTCGTATTCTCTGTATTCAAATGTTGATCCTCATCGTTTTGACAGCGCATTCGCCCATGGATGGGAGTTCGAAGTGCTGGGCAAGTTTTCACTGTTTCAAACAATTACAAGCCGATAATGACGGGGAGTTTTGTAATTTGAGAATTTTCAATTACATAGTACGTAGTATATGTTAATTTCGCGCGTTTGCGTTTGTTTCACACGTTGCAGTCGAACCAAATGCGTTCAATACTTAGTGGGACTTACGCAAACATTTCGGTTCGTTTCCGGACCAATTACCGTCTTTTCCGCAAAGTCGAATACTGTCACCTGTGAGGTAGAAACCAATTCTGCACCTTATACCACAGGCTGCGTGAACGACGTTGCTACATGCGCTTGCTTTTACCAAGTATCCGTTTTCTGGCACTCTTAGTCTCGGGCATGTTATAACTGTGAAATAAGAAACGTAAATGGACATTTGAAGCGAGAAAAAGTACAATGGAAAAGACTTTGGAATAATTGCAAACTTAATGTAATTGCTTTCTTCTGTTTTTCATACACATGCAATTTCTTTACAATCTTGTCGTTTATAATTGGAGAATTTTTCGTAAAAATTTAGATGTTTATTTAGATTGAGAAAGAAAAAATGGATCCACGATGTAACAAGCCTCGCGATTTTGTAGCGATCTATAAAAATTTAACCGAGCAAGTTCACAAGATGAAACGCTTACGAACAAAGTGGTTACAAAAATACGAATGTCTGTTAGACGAACATAAGTGAGTGTATGAAATTATACATAAAATATACTATTAAGATTCGCAGTTCAAATTCCTATTAACCATCAATTTCTATCAATTTTAAAGGAGATTACGAAAAGAAATAGAGAAACTGTGCGAAGAAAAGCAAACGGTTATTGCCACGGAAACGTTCGAACGTGAAGAGGGAAAAACTTGTCTGCCAACTCCGATTACTACTAATGGCGAGGTATTAATCGGAAATTAAATTATAAATTGTTTCATCATCGTTATAACATTATAAAAATGTTGAAGTTTTGTTGACAGTACGGTTGGCTCGCATCGAGACCAAAATTCCAGTTAGAAAAATATGGAGCTTATACGCCGCAATATCCTGATCCTCTTAAAGAAATAACGCCATTATACGGAAGTATGCCTGTCCTTGCAGCAGGCATAGGATACATTTGGTGAAAAGTAAGGCGAACAATTTGAATAAACGGAACGATGAAAACTTTTAAGCAATTTAATTGCATTTTATTTTTAATTACCCTCGCATTTATTTCCGTCCGTGGTGAATCCGGAAGCGCAAACGCAATGCTCAACGGAAATTGCAGGTACTTTCATAGTCACATGATTCACGTCAGGGCATGAGGTGCACATTGTCGCGAGATCACCGGAGATTTCTCCAGACGCGTATGTTCCATTTGGACATGCTGGAAAGAAATGATATTGAACACGGTCGATTTTTATTGGTATTACGATTACTACTGACTTAATAATAGTTAATTGTTATGCAAAATACGGAAACGCACTTCGATTTAATTTATTTTTACTATTGAAATACTTTGAAATACACGAATATCGTTCGTTCTATAATTTATAATTAATACAAGATGAATATAAAATAAATTCCTTCGAAGAAATTCCGCATAAATACTGAAAAATCCGTATTTCCGGCAAACTCACGGTGACAAGAACCCCGAAGACCAGAGCCAAAATATCCTGCCGGGCAAATACAAGCGTAATGTCCGGTCACAGTGCCACAGGCGCACGTCGCGAAATTATCGCAACAATTTCGTTCGTTTCCGACTTCGCTGATATTCCTGCATAAGAGATTACAATTATCTGGATACGTCACTGGTACGTATTTGCCCGCTTTCAAATCTGTAACAGCAGAGACGAGACGAATTCGCATTAGATAATTCGCATTCGATTCTTCGTCTCGTTCGCATAAACAAACGATAGAGCCACTGTGGACTGATTGCAAGTGAACTTTAAGATTTTCCTAAAGATTAGTTTTCAGACGATATTTCGTTGAATGTTTCATCGAATAAAAATTAATTTACTAAATTTGATGATCGATGAAATTTCATTTCTCAAATTATTTATCAGACTTTTCGACAATTTCGTGCATTCACTCACCACGATGCAGAGCTCGTCGTACCAAAGCCTCGAATTCCACGAAACTGTCGAGGAAATAGCTGTGCGTGTCTCCTGGAAAACTAGCTATGTCGCGCAGTTCGTCAACGTTTCCTGTTCTTATTCCGAAAGTGAATATCGTTGCGCCTTCAATTTTCAAGAGGTTCGCCGCAGGTCGTGGATCACCGCCGTTGCTAAATCCGTCGGTTATAAGAAACACAGCCTTCCTTGCGTTCGCTCTACCTTTCTCAAGTATTCTCTAACAAGTTTAAGCATTAAAATTTCTAACAAGTTTTCAAAATTACGATTGAAATCTGAATGTTTGATTTAATTACAATATTTAATGTAATAATCATACTGCAATAATTAACATTTAATATTTAATATGATCTTGCATCTAATTTTATTTATTTAAAATTTACGAAGAAAATAAAAGCGAAATTAAAAGCACTTACAAGAGCTTCCAAAAGCGCGCCGCGCGTATACGTTCCACCGCCAGTGTAACTGATATTATTTAACTGTTTATTCAGCAAATAACACTTGTTATCATTGTCACCAGTATGAGATATCTGATCTACGTTTCGTTTAATGTGTCTTCTTCCACCGAACGTTACGATCGCGATCCTAGTTGCGGAAGGTTCCACGGAGAAGTCGGCCAAAAGGTGTTTTATGAAATTTAATTCGCTTTGGAAATTTTTTAAACCAACCGATCCTGAAGCATCGACCAGAAACACCAATTCCACCTACCAAAAGTTTCAAAGTTAGATTAAAATCATTGCTCGTCGTTGCAAAGAAACGTTTAACGCCAATTGGCATTATTTTATTTATAACTCTAAATAAAGTACAATTTTACCTGATCGGTTTCGTTCCTCAAACGATCTATATCAGCTTTTAAAAGGTATGACAAAGCGTCGGCTTTCTTCCTGAATGTTTTCTCAACGTTCTCCAAGCTGGCATTTAATTCCTGCCGATCTGTGCTTCTCTTATGTTTGAAATTGCACTCGGTTCTTTCAGATACTCCAAAATCCTGCAACTCTATGTTCAATCGACTAATCTCGTTGAAAAATACGATCGTAGTTAACAAGCACAACGACAGCCAAATTAACGTGCATATTCTCACGACTGAACTGATCATGTTAACAAATAACGTAAAGTCACATGAAATTTCTAACATTTAATTTTCAGGACATACTCGCGGGCGAAAACGAATCTTTTCAATTTCGAAAAATCCAACTCTTTTGCAATAAATAGAATTTACTCGTGAAATGAAAAATTTACTCTTTTTATAGAATCTCTTTCTTCGACGCTTGCACATATCATACAAATATCTAGGTATAATTCTTTTCCAATTTACTAAGTACCAGTGGTATCTACACAAATTTTGAACGACGAGTGTGTCTCGATACTTCAAAACAACAATTTTTCAAAATTTCGATTAAGATTGATGAAAGATCGGAAGATCGACTGTCGATACTTTAAGCTGAACTGCTACTGATTGCAGCACGAGCATCTAAATCGTACAAAACCATGCTTTGAAAAGTTGAGAACAAGGGACTCTCTGTTCAACTTGTACCATGCACACGTGTTCACATTCATCGACTGATCTTGACGGATGTTCGACTTATTAACGAAATAATATTCAATCGACCGTGTCGTATTATTTGTTAAATATTATATTATATTATGTTATGTAAATTACCGAGAAAATCGAAGTCGCCAGGCCATTGGATTTCGCAATTAGAAAAATCGGATGATGGGATGTTCGAAAACTCGAGAGCGACGGACAATTTCTCGCAATAGATAAAGTATGAATACTGTGAATAAATAAACTGTGTGAAGTTTTCTAAAGTTGCAGAGCTCGGTCTTAACGTGTAGGAGAAATGCTGAACGGTGGACCGCGACAGTAGCATGTGAGGTCAGAAAAAGGCTTACAGTTTCCGTGTGACCCGCATACATATCGCATCAATGCGACGTAAATTGATTTTTCTGGCCGAGATATATCGTGAGAGTCCACGCGCACACATCGACCGGCAACGATCGTACGATGATTCAAAGTATTCGGTACTCTCGTCGTTTCGTTGTCACATTTTCCACTATTTTATCGGGCTTCAGATAACGAATACGCGAAATCACTTGCGTTTGATTATTAATTTTATATTGTTTACACGGATGTGCAAGTATTACGAAATAATTATCGATATTTCACTTTTATATGCATGCATCTCGTTCTATTTTTAGCAGTCGATGGAACGATCTTCTCCAAAGATTTCTGGTTCGTCAAAGAGTTTTAGACACGGTTCTGTGGGAGAAAGTGAACGAATTATGTCGATTTCAATTGTGATCACGATAATGACGATGATAATTGTTGGAAATTATGGAGCTTATGAAAAGGATAGAGTCCTCCGATTGTTGGATGTCCCTCGTCACTTCCGCCAAACGAAAGAACCACGAGAGACTCGAGGATATATCGAGCAATGTCGTGCCACGAATCTTCGAAAGGAACAGTTGGGACATGTAAATGTGTTTGCGTTTTTGGATCCTTCCTGGTATTATAGTTACCGGCAAGCAATCATGTAAGTTGTTGAGTTGTGGAATAATCGATATTAATAATATTTAATGACCAATATTTGTATTACGTAAAATTTCACTTTTTAATATTTAGAATTTTTCCAATATATTTACTTCAATTTTCTTGAACGTGGGGAAAAAATATAAGACTCACTAAGCTTAGTTTCAGAGCTGAAATGAAATTATATTTTTTATAAAATGATATAAATTTAAATGTAAAGTTGGTTCAACTGATATTTGTGAAAATCATTTGGGCACAAGGTTGGGATTATTGAAGAAACGATTAGAGAAGTCCGGTTTTTCGAATATCTTGTTCTTCATGGTAACGCCGCCGTCAGATTTGCTGGAAGACAGCGCAGAGAACAATATAGAGATAAAAGCGTGGAGGGAAATGTCTAAAAATACACAGGAGTTCGAGTATTCCTTGGACTCGGTAGAAACGTTGTTCGGTGACATTAAAAAAAAGAGAAAGGGCATAATTCTTCTTCAAGACACTTCCGAGTTGGGTATCTGGAAAAGTTTTCATGCATCAAAAGACGAAGTGGTCATTATCGATCGGTGAGAATACAATCATTAAACTTGATAATACGATCAATTTATAATCATAACAAGTTTTATTGGGTAAAATGTACAAAACTTTTACAATTTTATCGAAGCATTAATTAAATGTAAATAATTTCAATGAGATGTGATTACAGCTGCGGTAAAGTAACTTATCAAATCATAGTACCCTGGAGTATACTACATTTCCCTTATGTTAAAGCGGCCATTCTCTCCACGTACAAGGAAGATCCATGTGGTCCTTGCTATGTAAGAAGCATTCAACATTAACAATAGTATTACAATTCTTATTATTTGATTAAAACAGAAATGCGTAAATATAAAGAGGAATTATTTATTTGCTGATAAACAGGGACAATCATCAACGGTACGCGATTCGATGGATTATGAAGAATACCTTCTAAAAACTATCAATTCAGATGAAACAAAAATAGATGAAGATCTTGATACGCAGACAGACAAAGTATTTTCCGATTTAGAGACTATAAAAACATCTTCGGAAGAATTAAAACAGATTGAGGATGATAAAAATACGAGTACTATCGCTTCTTTCAACGCAAATATCCATGAAAGTATAGTTTATGATATCACAACTGAAATGACAACGGTACGAACTACAGGAAACATGAAGAACGATGATAATGTACGAGACATTTTTTTTACCGATAAAAATATTGAAATAACTTCTGAAGTACCATTGGAACAAGAACAAACTCCGATACCAACTATTATATCGAATTTCACAACGACTGAAGTATACAGTGAAAAACAAGATTGCATTTTTTCTAATAAACATGTAAATAGTAATAATGATGTTTCATTTACAAATACTGATTTAAGAAGACATAACAAAAACCTTCAAAATGAACCGAATATTAGTTTAGAAGAGATGAAAACGAAAGAACATGAAGGTATTAAGTATTAAGTATTATTAATTAATGTTGATCTAAAAATTTTCACAGATCTTTATTTCACATGTTACTCAGCAACAAATGAGAGTGCTAAAGCTAAAGAGTTACAAAGTTCAAACGATGAAAGTATACCTTTACGTATTATATTATACGCACCACATTTACACGAAGAAAATGGAACGTTGAAAAAATATACGCACTTAGTTCTAAACACAGGAAGTCTTAATTACCATGGTCATTTTAATAGTAAGAGTACAACTTCTGATCAAAAGGTACAGTATGTATAGTAAATATAATAAGTTTCTTCTAACAGCATATTGGACCCTTTTTAATTATTAAAAACAATAAGCCAACAGCATTTAAAAAATCAGATTCTGCGATATCAAACGATAGAACGTTGGCTCAATATGTGCATAATGTAAACGAAAGTCCAGGAGTATATGGAGAGATTGCAGATTATTGGCAAACTGTCGATGGAAATGAATTGAATAATAAAAACGAAAATGCAGAACTTACAGATTATGATTACGTTACGGTAACGATATTTTGAAGTTTTTTTCTCAGCATATACATTTTTCATTTACACATAACGAATTCCATAAAATATTTTAGGCAGAAGATACAGGAAGTAATATTAACAATGCTTTCAATAATGAAAGCAGTATATTAAGACCAAGCGATATCGATGCAATTGATTCAGATATGAATATTAAAACTGGTAATGATTTGGATGATTTTACGCAACAAAGATTAATCGAACATTATAATAAATTATTGACATGGATCTATTACATTGTTTAACAAAAAAATCACAATATTTATGATAAACACAAATAACATAAAAATAATACACACGTTGTATATGTTTAATATACATATATAATCATACAATTATATATGATTGTAAAGTAGACACAAACGAATCTTATTTGTATATTTTTTTATACACTATTTCACATATAGTGTACATATAAGTATAAATATTTTTATGAACACATAAGGTAAAATCGTAAAGTTTTACTTACATATTGTAAGAAAAAGACCTTCAAAAACATTATTTTTATAAAGATTTTGTTCAATATAAATTTTTAGGTATACTTATTTGTAATTTCTTCTGGTTCACTCGCATCATCCGAATCTAAACTATCGCTATTACTTGTTGTAGTGGTACTCGAAGTGCTGCTTTCTGAATCAGTTTCCGAATCAGTATCGCTGCTGTCGCTCGAACTCGAACTACTCGATAATCTGTATAAAACATAATTTATACATGCATTATTAAAAATTAGTTCTAAATCTTTTTTATTGTGCATTTCATCCATGCGCAATGTGCGAATATAATTTGTTATTGTTTTGCTACATATCATTGATGATAAGTTTACAGTTCGATATTTATGTAATTCATCAAAGGGATGTGCATTTTAGTTAGTGTATTACATTAGTATGTTTCAAATAAAAAATATATATATATATAATATATACAAATATTTATTTTATTTATTATAAGATGAACGAAAAAGCTTTGTTAAGGAGTATATTCGGAGCAATTCTATTGAAATACTTACAAATATTTTAAAGAATGTTTGTCTTTAATGTAGTATATAGTCTTTGGCCTTTAAAATAAAATTATATAACGTAAAGACATATAATATTTTTCAATGAATCCTAAGAATTTTATAAAAATTATGACATATTTTACATTTTATACTTACTTATTTTTATCATTGTCATTAACTGTTAGTTCATCCATTTGGTCCACTATTTCATGAACAGAATTTTCTATAATAAGATCTTCTTCTTGCACAGAATAAGCTGCTTGTTCTAATTCTGCTAATTCAAGTTGCATATCATTTTTTGAAGGTTCAACCTTAACAGAAATGAATATATATTAATAATTCATATAACTATTACTATTTAATATCTCTATACTTACATTAGAAATAAGAGATTCCAATGATTCTATTAAAGATTCATTAATTTGTTGTAACCAAATTAGATAGTCTTTTATGTACAATTGATTTAATATATATCGTGGTTCATATGAGTTGTTAAACAAACTATGTACTTCACAGAAACGTTTTATGATATATTTTCTACCTAAAAATTTAATGATTAGATATAAATCTGTAGGCGAAAAAATTGAAAATACTTTTATAAATCTGTACTTCGTGCACATATTACTTACCTAACTTAATTATCTTCTTTACATCCTCAAGAATTTTTTTAGATAGATCCCAGTTTCTAAACAGTGGATAACATATTGATCTTCTAAAACATGCTTTTATAACTTCTTCCGAATTAGAAAACTCCTAAAAATATTATTAACAAAATATAAGACAATACAATAAAAATGAGTACCGGCGATTCTCCAAAAAATTTACATACATCAAACCAACACAAAGTAGAACTTAATTTATTAATAGTCCAACTACTTTCAACAGTATTTTCTCCTAATGTTGTTCTGTGATTATAACAACAACCAAATAAAATATCCACTAAACTTAAAAGCAGCTTGTGTGTTTCTTCATTGTTTAATAAATATTCTTTGTTTGGAAGTTCTTTTAATAAATCTACTTCAGTTTCATTGAAGGAAATACTTTCTTTCTTCAAAGTATCCCATTCTGCAATAAATGAGATATATGGTTCTATAGATTCTGGTTGCATAAGATCTGCCAAATAATGTTCCTCGTTAAAATCTGAAATTTCATGTTTCTCTCGTAACATCCTTCTCTCAGATTGAGGTACAGTATCTGGCATTGGAAGATCTATTATTTCTTTAATCCATGCTGACTGAAATTAGAAATGAAAAAATTATATATCACAATTTTAGTTTGCATAACTATAGAGTATATAAAGCATATACCTCAAAAGCAGCTAAGGCTCCAGATATTTTACTTGCAAAACCATATTTAGGAGAAGTAGATAAAAGTGATATACTTTCTGTACTATTGTTTTGATGTATATACCATTCATCTCCATTAGTATTTTCATCATTTAGCATAAACTCATGCTTATTTGATATGTCATTAATATCTTCAGAATTTGCTGATGGATTTCCAATTACTTCAATATTAGGTATAACTGTACTCTTCTTTTTTGGTGGAGCTAACAATGTACTTATCATATCTAAATTTTCAAAATATTTTCCTTTTGTGACTTTTGAAAATCTTAAAGAGAAATCTCCTTTTTCGCAATCATACGAGCCAAATGATGAGTCATTTTCTTCAATTTCATCTGGTAGTTTTAATCTAAAATAAATTTCGTTAAAAAAATTAGAAATTTTTAATTATTATTAATATTGTTAATAATCATTATTAAATAATTATCATTAAAGAACTATTTACAATTCAATTTACCTTAAGTAATATGGCGTGGAATGAAATCTAAAATCTGTTCCATCAACATAAACCTCTGTGTCTTTGATATTTGCATATGGTGCATGAATAATTATTGCAACTTCTGTATCAGTTTGAGTTATTTCAAAACGTGGGGTTAACATTTTTGTAATGTAGTCAGGAAAGTATTTTCTTTAAAATTCACTTCATACATTCATTAGATATAATTTCGTAAAATTATATTATTGAAAGAGTATCAAGCAGCACCGACACAACATGAAAGTAATATATATTAATAAATACTTTATTATACACTATAGTTATTTGTGTATGCACTACACGAATGGCGCCGTGTCTTAGTTGATTAAAGTACCTATCTAGTAACAGGAAATCGGGGATTAAAATTCCCCTAAGGTCTTGAAAAATTTATGTACCACACAAGGCAAATCTCTAATGCTTGTAACATTATTATAACAGTTACGAATTTTCCCAATTCTTATACGTAACTATTAATAAACTTCATTTCAAGTCAAGTTCACAAATTCTTTTTTTGTTCAATTCACTTGTTACTTCATTGTCGTTCTGGACGAAATCATTTTTGCAATGATAAATATATCGATATATTTAACTATCGATTTTTAGTTTATCGAATAAACGCACGCTTGCAGCACATGTTAATATATAGTAGTGGTCGACCATGTGATTAAAAATTTCCTAATAACCTATGTGATTTGTTATTATTGGCTAAAATTTTCTTAAAAATATTTATTACTAATGCAGTTAATGCTTAATATCGATAAGGAATAAGTAATTTATAGTAGGTTTATTTAAATTATTTTTCTCAAAGTAAGAGCTGTGGATAGTCTTTTATAATAAAACATAAAATTCTCTAAAATTGTTAATGTCTCTGAAATTATTAAAAACTTTCTTTCTAGATATAAAAAAAGTAAGAGGACACATTCGTCAAAATGGTACAACAAAAGTACAACTCTTCACGTCTAACCCCAAAACATCTAGATCCAAAATGCTTAATGTTTTCTATGTTTACTGCAAATGATATAAGAAATTTAAGTGTTACTAAAATAAGAACGCCTTTATCATTTAATATTTTGGGACATCCATTGAAAGGAGGTTTATACGATCCAGCATTAGGTAATTAAATTCAATATATGAAACAATACAACTTATTATATTATTTATATTTTTATATATATTAAGAAGAAGAAAAAGGAGGAGAAAGATAATATTTATTAATTATTTATCATTAACTAGGCCCTCTTTCGGAAAGTTCAGATCCATGTGCAACATGTGGATGCAATATATTCAAGTGCCCAGGTCATTTTGGGCATATAGAGTTACCTATGCCAGTTGTAAATCCATTATTCCATAAAGGATTATGTATGTTGATTAAATTAGCATGTTTAAACTGTTTCACTTTACAAATTCCACCTTATGTGAAATTGTTACTCTCTGCAAAATTAAACTTACTTCAGCAAGGATTTCTCAGTGAACTTGATGGTCTAGAACAAGAAATAATGGTTGTTGCTGATTTAAATCATACCGATCCTTATCAAGTTGATACACAAGCTGTTCAAAATGTCATTGATAATTATACTGAAAATCTTTTCAATAGACCAAAACTTAATCAATCTATTGTACAATATGATGAAATTCAATTAAACACTAAAAATATTAATATGCAATGGCACACACACGTTGAAAACGTCATTAAGCAATATGCAACAACTAAAATTTGCATTAATTGTTTAAAATCTATTCCAAAAATCACAATAGTAAAAAATAAAATTATGACATCTAAAATATCAGAGTCATCTAATACTTCTACAACAGCACAATTACGTAAAACAACACATAAATTGGATACAGTATTGATAATGCCAGATCAATCTAAAGAATATCTTAGAAAATTTTGGCAAAATGAGAAAGATTTTTTAAAAGTACTTGTACCTTGCTTTGGAATGGTAGATATTGAATACCCAACTGATATATTTTTTTTTGAAGTAATACCAGTTCTACCACCTATAGTTAGACCAGTTAATTTTGTTAATGGACAAATGGTAGAACATCCTCAATCTCAAGTTTACAAGAGTATCATTCAAGATTGTCTTGTACTTAGAAATATCATTCAAACAATTCAAGATGGTGATACAGATCAATTATCAGAGGAGGGTAGACTTGTTTTTGAACAAATAAAAGGCAATACAGCAATTGAAAAATTACACAATGCTTGGCAAAATTTACAAGTAAATGTGGATCATTTAATGGATCGTGATATGAACAGAACTACAGATTCTGCAAATTGCTTGGGATTAAAACAAGTTATGGAGAAGAAAGAAGGAATTATTAGAATGCATATGATGGGTAAAAGAGTTAATTACGCTGCTCGTTCCGTCATCACACCAGATCCTAATTTAAACATAGATGAAATTGGTATTCCTGAAGTATTTGCAATGAAATTAACATATCCAACACCAGTTACACCTTGGAATGTTACACAGCTAAGACAACTAGTTTTAAATGGTCCTGATATACATCCTGGTGCAGTAATGGTTGAACACGAGGATGGAAGTATACAACGCATCTCTAGTAAAGATATTGTCCGAAGAGAAGCTATTGCAAAACGTCTTTTAACAACAAGTGACAAAGCAAACAAATTTTTCAAAGGAATTAAAATTATACATAGACATTTACAAAATGGAGACATTCTGTTATTAAATCGTCAACCAACTTTGCACAAACCCAGTATAATGGCTCATAAAGCACGTATTTTAAAGGGAGAAAAAACATTACGTTTGCATTATGCTAATTGTAAAGCTTATAATTCAGATTTTGATGGTGATGAAATGAATGCTCATTATCCCCAAAATGAACTAGCCAGAAGCGAAGGGTACCATATAGCCAATGTGTCTAATCAATACCTTGTGCCAAAAGATGGTACTCCATTAAGTGGTCTCATTCAAGATCATGTAGTTTCTGGTGTTCGTTTAACAATGAGAGGAACATTCTTTTCACGTGAAGATTATATGCAACTAGTTTATGCTGCTTTATCTACAATACAAGATAATATAATTGTTCTTCCTCCCAGTATAGTAAAACCCAAACCTTTGTGGTCTGGTAAACAAATTGTATCGACTGTTATCATTAACGTTATTCCACCAAATCAACCACGTATTAATCTAACGGCAAATGCCAAGATCAATGTAAATGAATGGCAAGTTGAAAAAGCACGGCGTTGGAAATGTGGTAATGAATTTTCAGATCCTAAAACAATGTCAGAAGCTGAAGTAATAATACGAAATGGAGAATTGTTATGTGGTGTACTTGATAAAACACATTATGGTGCAACTCCATTTGGTCTTGTACATTGTATTTTTGAATTGTATGGGGGGACATGCTCTTCAAAATTATTAAGTGCCTTTGGTAAATTATTTCAAGCTGCTTTGCAGAGAAACGGATTTACACTTGGCATTGAAGATATTTTATTGTTAAGAAAAGCAGACAAGAAACGTAAAGAAATTATTTCTAAATGTAGAGAAATTGGAGAAAATGTCCAAAGATCAGTGCTGGAATTACCTAATGATACACCTATGGACATTGTTACAACTAAAATTGAAGAACTTTATTGGAATGATCCTAAATTTCGTGTTCAAGTCGATCGAAAATATAAAAGTGCATTAGATGTCTATACTAATGATATAAATCGAACATGTCTGCCAGCTGGTCTTTTAAAAAAATTTCCAAATAATAATCTGCAGTTAATGGTTCAATCTGGTGCGAAGGGTTCCACTGTAAATACTATGCAAATATCTTGTTTACTTGGACAAATCGAATTAGAAGGAAAAAGACCACCTTTAATGATCAGTGGCAAAAGTCTTCCAAGTTTCCCTGCATATGACCCTTCACCAAGAGCTGGTGGATTTATTGATGGTAGATTCATGACAGGAATCAAACCTCAAGAATTCTTTTTTCACTGTATGGCTGGCCGTGAAGGTCTCATTGACACTGCTGTAAAAACTAGTAGATCAGGCTATTTACAAAGATGTCTCATCAAACATCTTGAAGGATTAATTATTAATTATGATTCAACAGTACGAGATTCAGATGGTAGTTTGGTACAAATTTATTATGGCGAAGATGGGCTCGATGTATCAGGTTCACGCTTTTTAAAAAAGGAGCAATTGAGTTTTTTAATAAATAATAAAAATGTGATTCTTAATGAAGAAATAATAAAATACTTAAAAGAAAATTCAGATACAAGTACAATTTTAAAATTAGTAAAAAGAATTAAAAAATGGGAAAATAAAAATGGAAATGCATTACAAAAAAGGAGAATTAATCCATTTACAAAATTTTCAAGAGAAAATATGAACATTAAACAATCGAAGTACATGGAAATCAATAAAAACAGTGGGAGAAGCAAAGCTGCTCTTTCAATGATGAAAAAGTGGATAAGAACTAGTGAAGAAGATAAAAAATGGATTTATACTGAATGTGCAAAATGTCCTGATCCAGTAATGTCAAAATATAGACAAGATATAGATTTTGGTGTACTTTCTGAAAGATTAGAAAATTTAATAGATGAATATGTAGCCAGCAATTCTATTATGAAAAAAAAAGATTTAAGAGATCTTCTGTCTATGAAAGTAATGAAAATTATTTGTCCTCCTGGAGAACCAGTAGGTTTATTAGCAGCACAATCAATAGGAGAGCCATCAACTCAAATGACTTTAAATACTTTTCATTTTGCTGGTCGTGGAGAAATGAATGTTACTTTGGGTATACCCAGATTACGTGAAATACTTATGATGGCATCGAAAAATATTAAAACACCTAGCATGGAAATACCATTTCGAAAAGACTTGAAAAACATAACAAAACGCGCAAATAAATTAAAATTGAAGCTAACAAAATGCATTTTATCTAATGTTTTAGATAATATTACTATATATAGGAAAATCGAACAATGGCCACATAGACAATTAGTGTATACCATGACTGTTAATTATCTTCCATATAAATCTTATAAATCCGAATTTTGCGTTCAGCCACATGAGATATTGAAAAAAACTGAAGAAGTGTTCTTTAAAGAAATATTTAAAGAAATTAAAAAGATTGCTAAAGTAACAAATACTTTATTACATATAGAAGAGGAAAAGAAATCTATGTATGAAGACGATGCTTTATTAGATCAAGCAGAAGTTGATGAAGTAGAATCCTTCAAAGCACGTTCAAATTTAGGAGAAATGCACGAGTCTTCAGATGAAGAAATAGCAGCAGAAGATGCAGATGCAACTTTACTACGAACAATTTCACGTCACAAAGAAAACCAAGAATATGAAGATCCAGAAGATGAAGAAGAAATAGAAGATATAAATGAAAAAGTTGATGAGAATGAAAATGAAAAATTAGAAACTAACGAACAACAACAAAATGAAGATGATGATACAGAAAATGAGTGTGTTATAGATGAAATTTATAATAAAGAGAGAAAGAAGCATATTCAAAATATGTATAATAATGTAATAGAGTATGATTATGACCAGAATAAATTCACATGGTGTAAATTAAAATTTTCGGTAAGTATTATAATAAATAGATCTTTATATATTCATATGAAATTTAAAAGTGTAAAATTGCACAGAGTACAAACATGGAAAAATATACAAGTATCCAAAATATAATGTTTTTTATAATATTTGATACTTAAAACAATTATCTATTTTTTAAATTATATTTTTAAAAATATAAATTTGCATTAAAAACTACATCTTTATGAAAAGAATTAGTTAATGACTTTCTTTTGCAGTTACCTCTCAAGTTGTTAAAATTGGACTTATCAACAATAATTAGAAATGTTGCAAATAAAATTGTCTTATGGGAGGTGCCTTGTGTAAAACGTGCTTTTATATTTCAAAATAATGATGGAGAAACAATTCTTAAAACTGATGGTATCAATATAGTAGTAAGTAAAAATTTTGTAGTATGTGTATGTGATCACAACTTTGTATTTTATTATCTATTTATAATATTTTTTGTAATATAGGAAATGTTCAAATATGATAATTCTTTACATCTAAACAAATTGTATTCTAATGACATTTATGCTATTTCTCAAACATATGGTATTGAAGCTGCTAACAGAGTTATTATAAGAGAAGTGAGAGATGTATTCAAGATGTATGGAATTACAGTTGATTCTAGACATCTGTCTTTAATTGCGGATTATATGACTTTTGATGGTAGATTTCAACCTCTCAGTCGTAAAGGAATGGAAGATTCAGCATCTCCATTGCAACAAATGAGCTTTGAAAGTTCCCTCAATTTTCTGAAGAACGCAACTTTACAAGGTATACATATAGAAAAGTATGACGGAAGTATTTATTTATTGAAAAATTACGTGTTAGTTACGTATATCTTTTATTTATAGGAAAACGAGATAATTTAATATCTCCTTCTAGTCGATTAATGTTAGGCCAACCTTCTAAATCTGGTACTGGATTATGTTCATTATTGGTAAAAATACAGAAACAATCGGACACTACATTGTCAGTAGGTGGATAATGAGAAATAAATGGTTTTATATTAAGACTAAACTATTAGATAGATGAAATTATGTACATAAATTTAATTTTTTATGACAGTAAAAAATAATTGTATGTATATTTTTTATAAGCTGATTATATTTTATTTTGCAACAAAATATGTATAATAAAACTGATGATGTATTAACAAAAATTGATGTATTATCTTATAATTATTTTGCAGGTAATACATAGTTTCATTTTTAATTATTACGAAATTTTTGCTAGTTATCTTTGTTGATTAATGCTAATCAATAGACAATTCTGTTTGAAAATACTTTTATTAAAATTATTTATTCACTTGTTCTTTTCAACTGTGCTTTCAAGTTTATCGTAGTTAGCACCAGAGAAAGTCTCCAGCTAAAACATACAAAGCATTGTTAAATTATATGTCCTTAACTATTTTCTTATATAAAATACATATTAATTTAAAATGGTACGTACCACTTTACTATTTTTGATAAAAACAAAAGTTGGCATACTGGTAATTTCATATTCACTAGCGATGTCTTCACATTCATCTACATCAACTTTTAGAAAGACAACATTGTCCATTTTCTGGTACGGAAGAATATATTGTGAGGATTATTTGACAGAACATTTTACATAAAGTTAATTATCTAACCTTTGATAACTCTTCCAATTTGGGTGCAATCATCTTGCAAGGTCCACACCAAGTAGCAAAGAAATCAATTACAACTAAATTGTCTCCAGCTTTCTCAAGCTGACTTTTTAAATCATCCTGCAAAGATAATGTATGAATTTTATATATATATGTGTGTGTGTGTGTGTGTGTGTGTGTATTATATTTTATAGTTAAATATAATAAATCATGCCGTTGTAATTTTACAATAATTTTATATCGGTTTTACATTTGTCCTATATAGTTATCTAGTTCTAAGTAGTTATCTATAGTTATCGTATACCTATCTGCAAAGGAAATATGAAATGTAATATAAAATATTTCCTTTGATTAAGTCGTAAATTTAAAATTAATCTTTTTAAAAACATAAAACATAGCAAAATAATAATAATAGTAAATACATTTTTATTTGAAATAACTTTTATTATATGATTTAAAATCAATGGATCGATGCCAAGTTGAATTGTTCCGCCCTTAAAACTCATTAATCATGAAAACACGCTCGAGCCGCATGCTTAGATACAATACCACGAACTAGAGTTATGTGATAATTGGAATTGTTTGTGATTGACGTAATGCAGTGTGAACACCACGCTCGAAAATGTTCACCGTATATAATCTATGGCGCTGAAAACAGATGAACGAAAGCCGGCACAATTCGGTGTGCGGATCGTGATTCTAATTACACCATGCATGCTTCCTGTATAAATCATTTCGATCATATTATAACTGCAACTTTGCTACTAAAACTAAGCAGGTTTGGATCAATTATTTCAAGGTCAATCGATTTCACAGAAAATACGAGAAATGCGACGAATGCGAAATGTATTGGAATCGTTAAGTTTTCATTTTTTTATTTTCAAATCTAATTCCAATGATTATTTAACAAATTATACAAGCTATATATATACATATATATTTACAGAACGTGTATACGTGTGTGTATGTATATATATATATATATTTTACTTAATAAACTTAATAAATAACTATGTAAATAAGAACGTAAGTGCATGCAGTTACTTACGGCATTCTTAATTTGGATGACCATTTTTGTTTCTTCTACGAAATACGTTCACAATTAACTACTGTGCCGAACCAACGGTTTCGATGCTTCGTCAACGACTGAACGTGTGGTTAGAATCAGATCCACAGTAATTCTGTTTCTCCTTCCCTTACTCACGCATTTCTTCGTATTCACTTTGCTTCTATCTTTCTCTCTCCCTCTCCCTTATGCTTGGGTTCCATAGGGTGGTGTCACACTTGGGCGTAAAGTATGGCGAAGGCAAAACGAGTCACGTACTGGTCGTATTTTATTCACGATTCAACCGAAAGACCTCCGAAGATCCACGAACATTTCCGAATGCTTAGATCATACTATACTTCCTAATAGCGGCTTATGTCATAATGAGCAATTTCGAAGTTTGCTCGAATAAATTTTATGTACTTACATTGATTGTGTACTAGAATTGGTCAATGCTGACATTACATTAACATGAAATGCGATCGTTTAATTTCCATTATCTTCAATATTTTTTGGAGTACCTTCAGGATTTACTTCTGTTGCGATATATGTACATAATTCTTACCATTTTAACATTTCTTGTTTCTTTTACAACGATAAGATATTACCTACGTTTTATATTTCAACACTGCATTTACGTAATAGATAATTTTACGCAATGAACGTTCGAAAATATATGCGATTTTAAAAACGTTAAAATATGATTTGTTTAAAATTAAAATTAAAATAAACAAATATATATTTCCGTATTCAGTCATAATTTTTTTTAAGCAAAGTAAGGAGTTCATTTATGAAACAACATATTAGTTCTGGATGGCATTTTTGTGACCAAATAATCTTGGTTACAAAATAATGTGGAATATGTAGGTCAAAGAAATCGATTAATACACTCATGCTAGTTTCTATTATTCCCCTAGGCTGGTTCTAAACACATGTAGGAACTAGTAAAAGTGCTGACAAATCCCAAGTATTACAAGTATTATTATTTTAAGAGATGAGTAAGCACAATATATACATGTGTCAATGTAGTTGTGAAAATGACCATGATATATAAATTTAATAAAAAGATTTATGATATAGGATAATTTGAATCATAAAAGACTAAATATACATTATAACGACCTCATATAATTTTCCTTAAAGATTACATTTTTTCAAGTAAACTTTGGATATCTGTGTCGATATTGTGTCGATATCATATGTTTACTGATAATATTACATCTGATATTCTATATTATGGTTTAATCTAAATATATATACTACTTATTTATAATGTAAATATTGTTGACGTAATAATTGCATAGTGCAAAAGTCAGTAAATTTTTTTTGTTAGGTTAGATTGTCACGTATGTAATATTAGTATTTAACAATATTTATTTATAATAAAATTATATTCATTATAATTTATTTTTGAGAAATATGAAAATTAAATAGGCGAAAATTGAAATTTGTCATTTAATTAAAAACTTGTTAAAATTCTTTTGTATAAATCTTTTGTCATTATTTAAAAAGAATTAAATTTTACTTTTATTTTATATAATATAATTAAATTTGATTGTAACATATTTTTAAATTGAGATAAATTTTAAGCTGAGATAAATGACCAAGAAGTAGAAAATGATGAAATATTATAAAATTATTTATGATGAACAAGCGAAATAAATAATTGCAACTCATGAAGCTAGTAGGTGAAGTTTTATCGTATTGATTAAACATTTTTATGATACAATACTGTAGCAAATTCTGTAAACATATAGTATGTGTTATTACGAACAATCACAACTTAAAGAAGTAATTTTATCAATACTTATGTTAGGATTATTAGCGAAATTTATTACGCCACATTTCGAAATGTAAGTATATCAGAATGATTGTCTACAATATATAAATCTTAGTTAAATCTTGTAATATGGAAGTTGTACAAGTATTTTTAAGATAAAGAACAGATATTAATAAAATAACTCTATGATAAAGAATAACTGTTTTAAAACATACTGAAACAGAAGCAAGGTGTAATATTTGAAAGGTGTAAAAAAAATATAAAATAAACCTGATATATCTTATCACAAGTTTTGATAAGCTAAACAAACTGAACTTGTCGTTTTAGTGTCATTTCCGACATTACCGGTACAGAAAGGATAAGGTAGATTACTACAATAAATTATTTACATCATTGACCAATCAAAATAAATCATTGATTAAAAATAAGATTTAATCATTGAAGTTAGCAAACTTATACAGAAATATAAAAAAATATATTAATATGTTTTAATATATCTTATGATTAATTAAATGTATATATTCTGCATCTCCTATTTGTAAGATTTAAAACATTATCTAAATTATTACATATATCTAATTTGTCACTTGTTGGTTTAAAATAAATATGGATATGTTTCCATATATAGTCATAGATATGAAAGTATTTAAATACCTGCATGAAAATATATGTATATTACGTATGTCACATATAAACACACTACTTCTATTGACATGACTATATTAATTAATTTTGAACTATTTGTATTCTATATGTTGTCATCATTTTTCCATTCTATTCGGTCAATTGATACACCAAGGCATATCCATATATATATTCATATATGTATTTCATATTAAATATCATGATTGGGAACAATTTATTTTTCTAATAAAACAGGTGAATCTTATTCGTACAAGCTTCACGGGAAATGATTTTAAGGTAAGTAAAGATTATAGCGCCAGCACTAAAATACATTTATTGCGATTATTGAACATAATCGATATTTTTCATGATCGATTTTTAACCGAGAAGTGGTTAAAAATGGCGGAGAGAAGCACGTATCATCTGTAAAGAAGAAAGTATTATATAGAAGAATGATCCAGAAAGAAGTATCATCCAAAAGTCTCAGGCAAAAATTTAAATCAGTAGTTGTTAGATTTGTATTTGTATTGCAAATTTTTAAGATAAAAGATAACGTGCATTTTTGGCTTCAACTCAAGGTAAGATTTAACCAAATAATTGTTACACATAATTTTCAACAATTAAAGAAACAATAGCATATAAATATTTAAACAGAACATACCATGCTAAAACTATTGCTAAAGTTATTTATAATTTTATACCAAAATTTAATTTCAATTCTAACCAATACAAATATTGTGACTTTGTAATATGACTATATATATATAATTTTTTATTCATTTTCTACTTATTTGTTGATTCTCTTGATATTACGTAATTCATAATAATTACAATACTAATTCAATAATTATAATACAAATTCAACAATAGTTTATTAAGAATGTACATATTTAATAGTTAAAATAATAATTTTACTACGCCTAGTATATAAAATTTCTCATGTCTTAGTTTAAAGTATTGACAATTTTTTATCAGCTATGAGAATATTTTCTTTCCTTTTTAAAAATTCCTCATGAATTTTGTTGTCTTAATTTAGACCAAAATTTTTTACTTTATATTCCAAGTTATTATTTCGTGGGAAAGCTGCGATTACAGCGCCCCAACGGTGAAATACGCAATATACTTCCTACGATAATCGAACGTAATTTTGAACGATATTTCTCACGATCGATTTTTAAATGGGGAACATGGCGGAAGGAAGCACACCTCATCTGTAAAAGGGAAAATATTATTCAGAAGAAACATCCAGAAAGAAGTTTTCAGGTAAAAATTTAAATCAATAGTTATTAGATTTGTATTTGTGTTGTGAATTTTTAAGATAAAACGTGCACTTCAACGTGGCTTCAACACAAGATTTAACCAAATAGATTTAATCAAACTTAAGATTTAACCAAATAATTGTTACATATAATTTTCAACAATTAACAAAACAACAGCATATAAACATTTAAACAGAACATATTGTGCTAAAAGTTATAATTTACTAAATTTACAAATTGTAACCTTGTAATTGACTAACTCATTGTTATGTATATATACACATATTTTATTATATGCTTTCACACACACACACACACACACACACACACACACATCTATAACATTTTCTACTTGTATTTTCTTACTTGTTGATTTTTTAACTTCATACTGCGTAATTCTTAACAATTCTAATACTAAATTCAACAATCATTTATTAATAATGTATATTTAATAGTTAAAATAACAATTTTACTGTAATGTAATAAAATTTTTCATTTCTCAAATAAAGTAAGGTCTTGAAGAAGGCTTTGAAGCTTCAAAGTCAAAACAACAACATGGACACAATGTTTATGTTCGTCTCATCGCCTGCCTGTTCATTCATGATCACCTCATCCCCTACTCTCAATTGCGTGACGAGAGGTGTTGCGGAGAGTCATTCGGCTGTCGAACTTCGTGACAACAGTACGTATTACGTCGTATTAGATTCGTAATGTTTTCTAATTTATCGGTTCTATTTTACTTCCATTTATACCTCATTAATAGTATTATTTAATTAATACGCGTGTATTTGACGATTCATTGAGCATCAAGATAATGAAATCAAGTAAGATTTTGAAGCTTTTCATGCTGATTTTTCTTCACTTTCACTCTTACGATTATCGATATCTTGTCTCATACGTTTTTTTTTAAATAGAATTTGAAATTGATTATCGTTTCATTTTCACACGTTTGCCTTCATTTGACACATTTGTTCTGACTTTGGTATTTGTGCAGGTTATTCCTTGATTGTAGAGATAGCATAGAACGCATAGATGCCACGATTATTAATGGACAATTTGATGAACTTTCACGGAGATTTGGTAACATTTTATTTATTGGGTAACATTTGGTATATAATTCATATATATTTGAGAAACAATTCATAGTACGTAATTTCGTAATTATTTGGAATATAAAGATGAAAATGGAAAAGATTAAATCAATTAATATTTTATTTAGGTATGTATCAGTTTAACGTTTCAGAATACAATAATCGTCTTTCATTTACTGTATTGAATATTGAGAAATACTTTATAATTTACAACTACCTTTAATTCAAGTTTCTTTATAATTATGTTCTAGAAAAACAGTAGTATTTCCTAAATAAACATATTCTTCACCCTCTCCCTAATCAGTTTTATTTTCAGAAAATTTTTGTGACCGCGCGCAATGCGGTTGGTATAGTCAGTGTTTGTTGCGCAATATTTTAATATTTTTCTGAGCAAAATGCTTTTTATTAAATTAAATTAATTCATTTAAATTATATTTCGCGAATTTAGAGTCAGTGAGTTCGCCGATTATTACTTAAACGCGCGCGTTAATAGTCTTATTTTTCTTTTATTGTATTTTTTCTTGTTCAGTGTTCG